ATCTTAATATTATAAAGGCTAGTAATATACTAGCTAATACCTAAATAATAGATTATATAAATTAAAATTATAATTTTAATAAATTAATTTTAATAAAAAATAATAAAAAATCTCTATTTAAGAATTTAAATTAAAATAACTAAAATTAACTTAAAATTAATAATAATACTAATAATTTAGATACTAATTACTTAGAAAATATTGTAGATAGTTATTTTAAAAATAAGCTAGTACTAGCTATTTTTAGTAATACTAGTAAATTAAATAGCTATAAATAAGTAATTAAAGGCTTAAAAAATAATAATACTTAGATATTAGTAGACCCTCCTAATAATATTAATATATTAAAAAATAGATAAGTATTTAAAGAAAAGCTAGATTAAAATAATAATATTTAAAAATATAAAACTAATTAAGTAGCTAAAGGTTTTTAATAATAATATAGAATTAATTTTTAAAAAATCTTTAGTAATATAATTAAACCTATAGTTTATAAAGCTTTATTTATATTAATAATAGATTTAAATATAAATATAAAATATTAAAATATAATATTAATAGTTCTAAATACTCTTTTATTTTAAAAATTTATATAATATAGTTAGAAGGCTTTAGTAATAATATTAATAAAGTTTATTTATTAAATAAAACTTTATATAATTTAAAATAAGTTATTAAAATTTTTTATAATTTTTTAGTAAATATACTAGCTAATTTAGAGTTTAATTTTATAAAAGTAAATAAGTCTATCTTTATAAATAATAAAACTAATATATAGTTTATATTAATAATCTATTAATTTTTTTTAATAATAAATAAGAAATTAATTTATTAAAAAGTAATATTAAATTAAAAGTAAATATTATTAATTTAAGTAGTATTAAATACTATTTAATATATATTATTATTAAGTTTTTTTAATACTTTTAATTAGTTAGTATAAGTAGCTCTAATTAGTTAAAAAAGATTTATATAAAGTTAATTAGCTCTTAATTTTAACTCTTAATAGTATTTAATTACTAAACCCTAATAGTTTTATAATACCTTTAATATTACTTATATTAGTTTAAAACTCTTAATCCTCTATTATAAGGCCCTATTAAGATTATATGTAAATTTATATATAATTCTAACTATTTATTACTAATTAATAAGGGGGATTATCTTTTAATAGCTTGTAGCTAACTAAGGAGTATAGAATTAAAGCTACTATTATTATTTTTATTTAAGCTCCTCCTCCTCCTCCTTCTACTCTTATTCCTACTCCTACTCCTATGTAAATAAGTTTACTAATTAGATATAGCTATTAATAGGTCTAAATAGCCTCTTAGCTAATTAGAAAAAAGCTTAAATATATAGAAAATAGCTCTATAAATAGTTTATAAGAAGGCTTATAAATAGCTTATAAAATATACTTTTTCTTAGCTAATTTTAAGCCTAATTTAGCTTAAGAAATAGACTTATAAATAGCTTATATTGCTAGCTAGCTATATAGCTTCCTCCCTACTATTTTTAAGTTTAATTTAGCCTAAGAAATAGGTTTATAAATAGTTTATATTATTATATAGCTATATACTCCCTTTTCCTACTATTTTACAACTAGTTTTAAGCTATTTTTACTTAGGAATATTTTTTAAGCCTTCTCCCCTTTACTACCTAGCTTTTAAGATATTTCTTTTAAAACTAAAGTTTTTATACTATATATAGTATAGAAATCTCTTAGTCTACTTATACTAAACTTAATTTAACTTTTTTAATTAATAATTATATTTATTATATAAGTAATCTTAATAATAATTATATAATTCTTTTAGAAATAGCTTTATATCTTAGTTTTTAAGACTTTAAAAATTAATAACTTTAAGCTTATATAAAGCTAAATATATAGCTTTAAAAGAAGTTAATAAGAAGCTAATTTAATTATAATTACTATTTAATTAATTAAATTTAAAAGACTATAATATGGATTTAATTTATTATAATAATAAATTAACTATTAATTTATTTAAAAATCTAGAATATTATACTAAAATAAAGTATATAAATATATAATATTATTTTATATATAATTATATAAGAAAATCTATATTTAAACTAGTATATATAAATATTAAAAATTAATTAGTAAATACTTTAACCAAAGCTTTATTATTAATATCTTCTTAAAAAATATTAAAAATATTTAAATAAAGAAAAACTAGTTTTTAAAAAGTTAAAAATCTAAAAAAGAATAATAAAATAGCTTAAATACTTAGTAATCTAGTTAAGAAAATTAATATAATATTGGTAAAAATTCTAGTGCCAAGAGGTGCAACAGCCTTATAAAATGCGCAATTTGCAAAGTGCCGCGATTAGGTAATTACATATGTAGGCTTAGTGAAAAACTATAGAGTTTTAGTGAAAACAAACTTTTTCTTTATTTTAAAACGCTTATATCTCGCTCAATATTACACGTATTTTAAAAATTCTTAAAGAATTGAAATATACGCTAAAATTAGTCTTAGTAATTAATTTATTAAGTATATATACCCCTTATTAAAGGAGGGGTTTTTAAAAAGGTTTTTTTTTTTTAGTTTACAAACTACTTGCCGTTTGCGGGCAATCTGCGGGCAAACTACGCATGAAAGCAGATATATACTTTCCCGTATTCTGCGCATTCTATGCTATATATAGGCCTAAAATTCTGGCTAATAAAGATAATAGTTATTAAAATTATAAATAATTTTAATTTAAAAAGAAATAATCTTTAAATAGTCTAAATAAAGCTATTTTTATCTTAAAATATTAAGAAATTAAAACTAAAGCTTAAAAAGTTTTAAAAACTAATAAAATATTAAACTATTTTTAAAAAAAAGATTTAAACTATTACTAAGTTTAATAAAATTCTTAACTTAAAAATACTTTTTTAAAACTTTAAAATATATTTAAAATTAAGTTTAGAAATCTAGTCTTTAAAAGTATATTAAAGAAAAAGACTATATATTTTCTAATTTATTTATAAAGTTTATATATAGTTTTTATAATATAAGAAAATATTCTTAAAAATTCTTTATTTTATATTTTAAATATAAAGGATATATAAAAAAATTATATTTAAAAAAAAATATAAAATAGTTTTAATAAAAAGAATATATAGTAGTTAAAAGCTATACTAGATTTTTTTAAAAAGATTTTTATTATTATTTAAATATTTTTTACTTTTAATATTATTAATAAATTATAATTATAAATAAAAAATATTTAAAAAATAATTAAAAAAAGTAGTTAATTATAATTAACTTTAAAAAGTTAAGTTCTAAGTTATTAATTATTTTTATTATATTAATAATATATTTAAAATAATAATATATAATATTATAAATTAAAAAGAAAATAATTATAATTATAAACCTTTATTATTTATAAATTTTTTAATACTAATATTAATAATAATAAAGTTACTTATTATTTTATAAGTTTTAAAAGTTAATTTCTTTTTCTAAAAAAATATAATAAAGAAAAGAAATTCTAAATAATAATATTATAAGTAAAGTATTATAATATTATATTAATATATAAATATATTATATTTAAAAATATTATTTTAGAAGCCTTTTAATTAATAGAAATAATTAAAAAATAATAGAGTAAGGGCTACTAAAATACTATATAAAAGTCTAAGAACTTAGGCGAAATAAGCTCTTAGCCCATAAACCCCTAGTCTAGCTAGATCCTATAATGCGGTTTTCCTCTCGAGCAGCATATTAATAAACAATCCTAGGCGCTGGAGAGCGTGCGCCACCCGCATCGAATTGAGTCGCTGATTCACGCGGAGTTGAAGGAGTACCGCGTTTCCCGGCGCTATAGCAAAGAGTGTGGGCGGAAGCATAGGGAGTGGTTTCTCGTCGACCCAGAGTACGCGGCGGTGGTGGTAACAAAATGGACGAGACGCCCTCTGTACTGGGAATGTTGTCTGGATGACAGTATTAGACAGGATGAAATCAACAGCTTGTGCGAGGTCGCTGTGATCAAGCAAGGTTCTGCTCTGCCAAAGAGCGCAGGTAAATCTCGGACGGCCGCACAACGAGGTCGTGGTCGAAATCCCGTTCGCCAGCGCAATTTGCAATGAAAAGGTGCAGAACGTCAAAGATGAGGAGTCAAACTCAATCGATAGGCCCGATGGGTGCGAATGTCGACTTGGGCTGGTGGAGAGGACGACCGTGAGAGGGCGTATCTTCTGTGCTGCCCCAATATTACGAATTGCGGATTGCCATTCTCGGAATAGACGTTATATTCTAGCTCACCATAGAACGTTTGAATCGAAATGCAGATCTGGTCCCCATATTGCCTCGGTTCACCATTTTCCGCTTCCCTTACCGAGCAGGCATGCCTCGCCCAAGCCATTGACGTGAGCAGTCCATGCGCATCGATATCAATCATCGGCGTTAAGTGCTCGTGGATTTGGGTATCTTGGACCGGGGACCCAGATCAAAAAATCCTCGAGCTGCTGAACTGACCAGGCTGATTCCCTCTTGTCTAGACATCGTCCGGTGCTAAGTCTTCCCAACAGGTAAGCGGGGCCGACCAAGGCATGACCTATGCGAGAAGGGTGAGCAATGAACGCAAGAGGTATTCGCTCAAATTGCCAGATCTCGTCTCCAGTATCAACCCGAGTAGATGCGAGGCCTGCAAGTATCGTCCGTCCGCGGTATCCCTTGGATGAAACCCACAAGTCTTCACCACCTATGGCCAAAAAGGCACTGATCATTCCGAGTCAATTGTAGGAGGAAGCGGCTCTGTGAACTGTCTTTCGTCCCGACCATTAGCTTACGGGTGAGCTCAATCGATCTTGCTTGAACAGATAGATCAAATTCCAGGTCTTGTCGTCTCAAAAACCCTCAGCAGGAGCACATCCGGTAGGTATCTGTCCTTTAGTAGAACGCGGGCCTGTCGGCTCTACCGACTACACAACTGCGAATGTCCTTCTCGGCATTTCTCCCACCCATTTCTCGAATCGTTTCCTATAATGTGTGCAGCGCCATTTGGCTATAATCGATCTCGTGGTCGACCTAGCCCAGGAGTAGTCACCATTGACGTACTTTAGTATAAGAAAGTCCTTCTTGACCTTGCATATACCTAGTCTTTGGTATTGCTCCCCGGTTTCCCCTGCTGGTCCCAATACCAAGAAATCTGCTTTGATGGCAGATTGAGTAGTGTGGGTGCGTAAAAGCAGGAGATCAACGGCCTCCCAGGCAATATTTGACCTAGTAGTCGCTTCTTTCTCGTCAACGCCTATGTTAGTCAGAGCTGCAGATCGGTTTGAGTATGCGTCAGAGGTGATCGTGGATACATCCGCTAGTAGCAGATCGAAGAGGGTTTCCGGAGGTTGAGACCCGCGAGGATCCAAGGGCGTTGCGTGTCCACTGGCTCCCGTACTTAGAAAGTGCAGTTGTTGCCACTCAGTTTCGCCCGCATTGACGGACCTTCCAGCACGACTGTGCCGTGCTTTACCTGGCCGAATGTGCCCCCGCCTTCCTCCTTCATTTCTGCACGGACCAGCCTGGTGTGCAACGTCACCTCACCGCTGTCCTCAGGGCGATAAAATCTCAGAAACGACGACCCTTTTTCAGATGATCCGACAGAAAGAGATGCCCATGACCACGTTGGCGCTTTTTGTCGTCTGTGGCCGCCAGACGGCCAATAATTGACTGACCACAACAGTTCTTGCACGAATGTATCCTTCCACAGACCGGCTAGATAAGTGTTCCCCGGTTGCATGTGGGCATGGAGCTGAGACGCAACTCCAGCGACAGCCGTCAGTCGGTCTTCTGCCGAGGCGATCCTGCTGTCAATATAGGACTCTAACACATCTTTCCAGACTAACGAAGCTTCTTGCGACGTAAGTAGCGTTTTCGACAGTATCTTGGTACGCCATTGATAAACACGGGGTTGTAGGTTTGTCAAATATTGGTCGTTAATTCTGTCACTATCTTCGCTTTCGACACCCTCTAAGCATGATAGTACAACTTGAGTGTGCGTGAAATGGAGAATCCGAGGACTCAACACCATTTCTTGATAGCACCAAGCTCGATGGTCTATCATAGTGGTTAGACTCGGCAGACCAGGCAATGTTGCTTCGCCATAGAGATTCGAGGTGGACAATCTCACATACACCTTGACTCCTAAGCTGAGTGCCTCGGAACCGGGCGCTTCGACCGCTTCCCGAAAGCTCCTAAGGTGATTGACGTTGAGAAACGATTCGTGGCAAGAGGCCGACGCTGAGGCAGCAATTGTCACAAAAGCACAAGAGTACACCTCCGCCATCTTCACACTCTCTTCCAACCACTCTTGTCGGTCGCCCTGCGCAATACAGAGAGCATCTATCCACAAATACCGTAATCCGAGAATCCGAGATGTCAAGACAGCATCCTTAAAGACAGCAGGCAGCCGAGACAAATCAGTGCCAGCTGCCATATCAGCAAGGTTTTCTTTCGTCATGCAAACCATCTGAGATCGGATCGTGCTCTCGGGGCCCCAACAATAGCTCAGAGCGGCATAATGAGTCGACGGCGGAAGCAAGGCTGCCGTGGTATCGATCACCCGGACCCCATCAGATTTAAGCCCTGGTATTTCAATATTAATCAGACGTTTCGGCAAACGTTTCTCGTGAGGTACAAAGCATTGGTGACAAGCGGTGCATTTTTGCAAAGCCTCCAACGCGAATTGAAGGGAAGTCGAAGACGCTTTGCCAGTATAGATGTGTGTGTATGGTGGAAACCAGTTGAAAAAGGGCGTCCGCCCATCAGCGTCCGTATAGAAGTCAAAAGCGACTCTGGGCATGCCAGTGCATTCGACTTCGTACGAATAACGACAAGTAATCCCGACCCGTACCAGTGGATAGAGCCGAGCTCGATGCTCCCAATCCGGCCGATCGTAGATTCCATACTTTTGAACAATTGCCCGCGTTCCCTGTAGCAGAATTGTACATCGATCACAGCCGCGCAAAGCCGTGATCTGTATTTCATTGAGAGATCTGAATAAAGGACGCCATCGAAGAGGTAGTTTGGTGTCGCAGTGTTTGCACAGCCTTGAGCTCGTCGTCGTTGGTGCTGCGACGGCCGGCCAGGAGTTTCTCGTGTGTTCGATAACCTCGGCAGCTGCAATGTATCTCCTCGGCTGTACCTCCATCGAGATTTCACATTGATGCCTGAACAGACATGAAGGTGGAAAGGATGTGTATCGGATCGACCTTGTGAGAAGCAGTCAAAGCTGCGTCTCCCGCGTCAGCCGTGTGCGGGGTACGTAGTCGCGCTGACTGCAACAGGCAGCAGCGTGTTGCGCCGCGCAGACATGCAATCGTATCAATAACTTGACCAACTCACACGCTCACATTTGTGTAAGATCATGTTTTCAACTTCTTTACCGTAGCCACTGAATGGTAGGCCGCATTATTGCTGACAGGGTTAGTACCAACGCCAACGTTCGCTCAAACTTTTATGATATTGCAGTACCCCTATATAAGAGTTTCTTAGCATTTTCGGAATTTTGCCGTAGTTGTAAATTCTTACTAAGATAGCTTATAGATATATTAAACTTACTAGAAGATTTTAGTAAATCTTTAATAGTAATAGCTATTCTAGTAAGTTATCTTAGTTTAACTATTAACTTAATTATTTATATAATAGCTCTAGGCCTAGCTTAGTATAAGTATTTACTTAAAGTAGGTGCTAAGCCTAATTAGGCTTAGTATATATACTTATTTATACTTTTATCTAATATTTAAATAGATTTCTATTTATAGTTAGAATTCTATTAATCTTTTAAACTATTATTTTAAAACTTTAATATAATTTTAATTATTATTAATATAAAGGACTTAATACCCTTACTTATAATAATAATAAAAGAGATATTATTTAAATATAATAAAAATAGATAAAAATAATATTATAATATCTTTTAAATATTATATAACTTAATAAAGTTATTAGTATCTATATACTTAAAATACTTAAATATAATAACTTATAAATTAAAAGAAAAAGAAAATATATAAAAAACTATTAAAAAGATTATAAATATTATATACCCTATAATTTATAGTCTTAGTAATACCTTACCTTTAAGTAGCTACCCTCTTTATATTCTATTTAATATTAATAAAACTTTTAAATAATTCTTTAAAGACAACTCTAATATAGAGACTAAATATAACCTTAATTATATTATTATTAAAAATAAAGCTTTATAAGAATTAAATATAGTTATATATTAATTTAAAATATAAAAGATAAATATTATAAGAAATAAAGAAGATTATAATAAAACCTAAGGAATTATTAATTAAATTAAAAATATATTAGTAATATTATTAAAATAAAAAATTATAAAAAGAATTTATTTTACTTTTAATTTTAAATAAAGTAGTATTATTTACTTAAGTAAAATAAGTAAAAATATTATAAATTATATATATAATATAATAGAATTAATAAGAAGTATTAAAAATAAGCTTATAATATAGTATAATACTATTATTAATATAATTTTAAATATAGAAACTAATTATAAATAAATAATAAATTAAATATAAAGTTAGCCTTAATATAAGAAAAAGAGAAAAGCTAAAAGCTTAAAGCTTTAGTATTTTAAATAAATAAAACACTTTATAATAATAAAAGAATTATAATTATATTTAAAAAGAAAAAGTTAATTAATAGCTAAAGATAATACTTTAAAACCTTATTAGAGTCTAAGCTATTTATAAGCTATATTATAATAATATAAATAATATATTATACTAAGTTAAAGCCTTAAAAAAGAGGTATAATATTTATAAGCTAATATAAAAAAAATTATATTTATATTTAATAAAAACTATAATTTAAAACTTAATAAAGAAAATAACTTGATACTTTAATAAATAACTTAAAAAGTAAATATATATTTATATATTAAAAATATATTTATCTTAGGTAGTAATAAATATTATTTTAACTTAAATAAGTTTAAAAAAATAAATAAGTATAAATAATATAAAGCCTAGTAGTTATATTACCTTTTTAAACTCTCTTATAGCATAGTATTATACTTTTTTAAATACTATAAGGTTAACTTTATTTATAATTATTATAAAGAATTAATATAATAAGCCTTTATTTTATTATTAATTAAGTAAAGTAAGACCTAAATAATATATTTAAAGAAACTAATAAAGTAATTAAAACTAATACTTTATTATATAACCTTAAGTTTCTAATAAGCTTAAATAAAAATAAAGATAAGATTTTTAATAAATTCTATACTTACTTTATTATTACTATTATTCTCTTTAAGTTTAATAATCTTTTAAAGGTTTAAAATTTAAAATAAATTATTATAAAAAGGCTTCACTATATGCTAGTAGATAATATAATAACTAATAATTATTATAAATATATAATATAATATAAATACTATAATATTAAGATATATTAAGCTAATAATAATTTTAATAGTAAATTTAATAAAAAGAGCTTATTTTACTTTATATTTAAAAGTATGAATACTTTAAAATCTATTATAATTTTAAATATAATTTAATAATTAAATAAAGAAGAGTGCTACTAAAAATATAGGAAAGTAACATATATTATAAAAGATAAAAATATATTTTATAAAAAAGCTAAATAGCTTATTAATAAAGAGGTAACTATATAATTAAAATTAGTTAAGATTACTAAGCTTAATAGAAACTATAAAAATTTTTTTAATTAAATACTTTTAAGAAAAAATACCCTTAGGAGCTAAAATAAATATAAAAGAAAATTAAAGAACTAAAATAATAAATAAAGTTATAAAGTAAGCTAGCTATTATTAAATTCTCCTTTAGCTATATTAACCCTAATTAACCCTTATAATATAATTAATAATTTAACTTTAAAGAAAGACTTTTTATAAAAATAAATAATATTTTAATTAAATACTTAATTAATATTAAAGTATTTACTCTAGATTTTATAAACTTTATATTAATTGAAAAATATAAATTAAATATTATACCTTTAATAAAGCCCTATAAGCTTAAGCTAGCTAATAATAAACTAATATTAAATATTATTTATATAGCTTATATAATATTCTAATTAAAAGAATACTTAGATAAAGTATAATATATAATAATAATTTTAAGGAATTTTAATATAATTTTAAGTATACTATAACTAGAACTATATAACTTAGATATTAAGTTTTTAACCTAATATTTAATATTTAATTCTAATTATTATATATTACATTATTTAAAATATTATAAACTAATAATAATATTAAATTAAAAATATACTTAGAATATAAAAAATATTATATAATTTAATATTATAGAAATCTTAGTTAATATTTTTACTAAAATGTTTATAAACCCTAAGAATAAAGTTATAGCTATATAGCCTAAGTATTTTAAATAATTAAATATTAATAAGAAGATATATATTATATTTACTATTAATATAATAGCTATTATTATTAAAAACTATAAAAAGTTTTTTTATAAAATTAAAAAGACCCCCTTAACTAAAGAGAAGTTATTAAATTAAATATAAGCTAAGTATTATAATTAGTTAAAAGTCTAAAATCTAAAGAAAACTAATAAATTATTATATTAACTTAAAAGAAAGAGTAAAGCCTCCCTCTAAGAAAGTATATAATATATCTTATAAGTAAATATTAATTATAAAGAAATATATAAATAATATATTAAGTAAAGGCTATATTCGCCTAAGTATCTCCCTATATACTATGTTAATACTAATTATAAAAAAATTTAATAGTAGCTTATATATAAGGTATATATTAATTATTAAATATTAAATACTTTAATAATAAAAAATTATAATACTTTATTATTAATTAAGGGGATTTTAATAAAGTTATATTAAGCTTAAGTTTTTATAAAGTTTAAAATTATTACTATATTTAATAAAATTTAAGTTAAAGAAAGTTATAAAAAAAATTAATTTTTTTTATAAAATATAGTCTTTATAAATATAATATTATATTATTTAGCTTATATAATACTCTAGGTATATTCTAGGCTCCAATTAATAATATTTTTTAAAAATACTTTAATAAATTCTATATAATATAAAATAAAAATATAAGCAAAGCTATACGCTACTTACTTATATTTAAATATAGATAAATATAAGTTTTATATAATAAAAGTTAAGTATTTAAGTTTAATTATTATAATTAAAAAACTATATATAAACCTTAAGAAAATAAAAATAATTTTAAAATAGAAAACTTTTAAATATATAAAAAATATATAAGTATTTTTAAGTTTTATAAACTTTTATTATTACTTTATATTTAACTACTCTAAAGTTATAATACTTTTAATAGTTTTAATAAAATTATTATAATAAAAGAAATTAAGTACTTATAGTCTTTAAATAAATTAAAATAAAAAGTTTTTAAAAACTTAAAGTATGTTTTTACTATAGTATTTATTTTTATTTACTTTAACTCTAATAAAGAGTTATAACTTAAAATACATACTTTTAACTATATAATAGTAACAATCTATTATAAAAAAATAATATTAAAGTCTTATAATTAGTTATATTCTTATTAAAAAAGATAACTTTATAAAAATATAATTATAAAATTTATAATAAAAAACTTTTAACTATTGTAAAAGCTTTTAAAAAATAGTATCTAAAGTTAGTTAGTACGCTAATTAAAGATCTTGTTAATATAACTATTAATTATAAGAATTTAAAATACTTTATAATAATAAAGTAACTAAATTATAAATAAGTATAATAGGCTAAGTTCTTTTCTAAATTTAATTTCTAAATTATTTATAAGCTTAGTAAATAAGGTATAAAGCCTAATAGTCTAATATACTACCTTAGTAATATATTAATTAATAATATTTATAAATAGTATTAATATTAAAACTAAATTATTATTAAATATAAATAAATAAACCTTAAGCTAAAGATTAACTTAATATACTTTTTATTAAATAAGTTAAAAGAAATAATTATAAATTTAATTATATTAATATAAGGTATTATTTAAGTAAAGAAAAATAAAAAAAAGTAAAAAATAATTAAAAGATTTATAATTTAATAAGTTTAGACTAGCTATAAATAATAAAAATTTAAAAAAAGAATTATTAAATAAGAAACCTACTTTATTTAAAAAGAAATTAATATATAAGATTTATAATATATATATATTAAATAGAGTTATTTAAGTAATTATATATATAAAATAAACTAATGCCTATTAAATACCCTTAGATTTAAGAAAGATTAAGTTATTAAAATTAAAATTAAAATCTTATAAAATTAAAGACTATTTACTATATATTAATAATTAACTTTTTTTACTAGATAATAAAAAGTACTTATATACTTATATTATAGAATAAGCCTAGAACTTATTAATAGAAGGTTATTCTAATAGAGTATTGATATATAACTATATAAATAGAGAATATTATTAGCTTAAAATAATAAATACTATTATAAAGTTTATAAAGAGTTACTATATATATAATAAATTAAAAAGTTATTATAAAAGAAAGTAAAGCCTACTTAAGCTATTACCTATACTTAAGTATTATTAAATAAATATAATTATTAATTTTATTATTTTACTCTTAATATATATTTATTATAAATACTCTTTTAAATATATTATAATAATTATAAATTAGTTATCTAAAAAATATAAATTTATCCCTCTTAATTTAATTAAAGTTAAAGCTTTTATATAAGTATTTATTAAATAAGTATAATATAAAAAAAGCTATTTTTTAAATATTTTATTTAATAGAGAAATATAATTTATATTATATTTCTAGAAATATTTATATAAAAAGATTAATATAAAACTTAAGTTATTTTCTATATTTTACTTAGAAATAGATAAATAAACTAAAAATATAAATTTAAATCTAAAATAATACTTAAAAATATATATTAGTTATAACTAAGATAACTAGGTAAACTTTCTAGCTATTACTAAGTTTAAAGCTAACTTAGATATTAATTATTTAATTAAACTATTACTATTCTTTATTAATCAAAGTTATTTACCTTATTTAAGCTTAAAAGCTTTAAAAGAAATACTTAATAATATATTATATTTATAAAGGAATAAAGTTTAAGTAGTAGACTAACTAGTATATAAGTTAAATAAAATATATTAATACTTATAAGAAGAGTTAAAATAGGCTTGAGTAATATAGAAAAAAATATATTAATTATTATTATTAATTATATTTAAAGTTTAAAGTTAGTAATAAAGTAATATTAAATATTTAAAATATTAAAATAATAAGGCTATTACTATTATTAAACTATAAAAATTTAAGCTTATTTAAAATTATCTAAGTTATTAATAATATAGTATATAAGCTAGAGCTTTTATAATTAATAAAAAATATCTTCTTAGTATTTTACTTATAATTAATTTATTTAAATCGCTATAATCTTCTACTTAGTTAAGTTATACTACCTTTATTATTAGTCTTTATAGGTAAGGGGTTTAAAGATAATAAAGTATTAAAATTAATTAACTTATATATTAATTATTATATAAATAATCTTATTATTAAGAATTATAATTATTTATAATACCTTACTAGATTTACTACTAAAGGTATTTAGAATAACATATAAACCTAGAATAGTAAGTATAAATAAATATTATTAATTACTTATAACTTATAGTAGATTTTTATTATAAATATCTTGAAAAGGCTAGACTATATAATTTATTTAAAACCTTAAATAATTAAAGCCTTATATTTACTAAGTTATTAATTAATTATAATAGCTATAGATCCTAATTTATAAGCTATACTATTTAATTTACCTGCCTAAGAAAGTATTTTATATACTATAGTTAGTATACTAAGTTATATATAATAATAATTACTTAATAAAGCTTATTTCTAGAGGGGAGTTATATAATAGCTTTAGGCCTAGCTTAGCGCAAGTATTTACTTAGAGCGGACGCTAAGCTTAATTAAGCTTAGTGTATACACTTATCTATACTTTTATCTAATTCTTAAATAGACTTTTACTTATAGTTAGAATTTTATTAATTTTCTAAACTACTATTCTAAGACCCTAATAATTTATTAGTTTATAAGGCTTTTAAAGATTAGTATTATATAATATTATTATATTTCTATAATATATTAAAGTATTTATAAGAATCTTCCTAAGCCTAGTAATAGGGAAAGTAGACTAGCCTTAACTAGAAATCCTAAGAAATAGTAAAGTAAAGTCTATACTAAGATAATAATTATATATAAAGGTAAGTTTTAAATATATTATTTAAGTTATTATATTAAATTATAAATATAAGTAGTATTAGTATATAAAGATTATTTATTTATTTTATTTTATTTATAAATTATAAACTTCTTAATTATTAATTTGCTAATAATAAAAAAGAAAGAGGAAAAGGAGTAATTATTTTTATTTTCTTTATCTCTTTTTAATACATTTTATCTTAGGAATTTTATAATAATTTTAATTTATTAAAATCTAGTTTTTATAATATATTTTTACTTAATTTAAGTTATTTTAATATTATTATTTATATTATTTATATTATTTATAATATTTATAATATTTATAATATTTATAATATTTATATTATTTACCTATATTATTTATATTATTTACCTATATTATTTATATTATTTATATTATTTATATTATTTATATTATTTATATTATTTATATTATCTATATTATTTATATTATTTATATTATTTATATTATTTATATTATTTATATTATTTATATTATTTATATTATTTATATTATTTATATTATTTATATTATTTATATTATTTATATTATTTATATTATCTATATTATTTATATTATCTATATTATTTATATTATTTATATTATTTATATTATTTATATTATTTATATTATTTATATTATTTATATTATTTATATTATTTATATTATTTATATTATTTATATTATTTATATTATTTATATAAACTAAGCTATATTTAAAAGTACTTTTAATTAGCTAGTAACTATTAATAATAAAGTTTAAAAAAAAGAAAAAATAAAGTTTATATTAGTAAAAGTTCTAGTAATAGTTTATATAAGTATTTATAAAAAGTATAGAAAGTAGCTTTTACTTTTAATTACTTATATATATAGGCTTAACAAAAAACTATAGAGTTTTAATAAAATAAACTTTTTTCCCTTATTTTAAAACCTTTATAATTCCCTTAATATTATATATATTAAAAATTTGAAATCTATACTAAAAGTAGTTTTAGTAAGTAATTTATTAAGTATATTTATCCCTTATTAAATAAGAATTTTTTATAGAAGTTTTGTTTTTTAAATTTATAGTTTATATATAATTTATATATAATTTATATATAAAAGTAAATATATATTATTATAACTAGAAAATTACTATATTATATATAGTATAAAATCTTTATTTTTTAAGAAAATATCTTAAAAGCTAGAGAATAAAGGCAAAAGAAGTTAAAAAAATAATTTTTAATTAAAGATAATTTAAAAATATTAATAAAATAGTAAAAAAAGAATATATAGCTATATAGTAATATAAGCTATTTATAAGCTTTTTCTTAAATTTAAATAAACTTAACTTAAAGTTAAAAATAGTAAAGAAAAAGTTATATAATTAGCTAATAATATAAACTATTTATAAAGCTATTTTCTATATAATTAAGTTTTTTTTAATTAGTTAAATAGCTATTTAAATTTATTAATAATATTAAAAAAAGTATAATAAATTAAAGTTTTTTTAATTTATTATAATAATTATAAATTTAATATAAAGATTAAAATTCTTTTATTAAAGAAAAAAATCTTATATATAATATAATTTATATTATTTAAATATTATATAAAATTTTTTTAAGAATTTTATAAACTCTTTTATTTTATTATAACCTTTAAGCCTATAATAAATAAAATATTAAATAATAAATAATTTTTTTAAAATTTTATTTTCTTTAAATATTATATTATAGTTTTATAAATATTAACTTATACTTAAATTTATTAAATATTAAAGAAGTTATTTAAATATTAAGTTTTAACCTTATAAAATTATTTTTAAAATAAGATATTTAATAGTTTATAAGAATATTAAAGTAAGTACTATATATAGAGTACTCTATATTTTATTACTTTACAATCCGCTATTTATATAAAATAAATAATTAGTAGTAAGTTGATTTCCTATAAAAATTGCAGATATCTGCAAATGAAAGGGTCTCTAATAATCGCAAGCAAATTATTAAGAGCGCATTGTATTACTAGGCCTAAATCTTGAATTCTGGACGCCTATTTTAGTAGTGCCAGGAAGGGAGATAACAACACTGCATCGCTTTTTAAGGTTTGAAACGATTAATATATACTGCCATTTGGTAGTCATATTATAAAGTGAGTAGAGACTAAGGAACTGGATTTGATTGTCGAAGGGGCCTCGGTGAGTAAAGAAGAGGGGAAAGAATGTCTGCAGATGGTAAGGCTTAGAGAGAAGAATCAAAGTTTGTCCAACAGGCTAGCCTTTGATCTTAAAGATCTGAATACGTTGATTCATGAACAGATCTCTATGAAGGAAATGGAAAGTATTGCAAATATGGGAGTCTTCAAAGAAGCGCTGACTGACCCCCCTGGAGATACTTCCTTAAGGGTAGGTACATGTATAATCTTACTTAGTCACAAAACCGCCTTCACCATCCATTGGTTTCCTAGGCGACCGGAAGACTCGTCCCAATCGCCTCCGTCCCCGGCCTAGTATCCAACCTCCCCTTCGCAACCACAATATCATACCCATGAATCTTGACAGTAAAATCAATGCTCCTCGTCACAAATCCGCGATCTACCTGTTCTTTGACGACCGTTATAACAGCCGCCGCCTCATCATACTTAATCGGCCGCCGTGTCCGATCTGATAAAGGGCGGAAGATACACTCCAACCCGCGACCATTCCAAATCTCGGTTTCGGTCATTGGGGCGTCGCCGTAGTTGTTGAGATGGTCAATGAATCCGCCCAACATCGCCGACGCGGCTCGGGTGTTTAACGTCTCATAGACAAAGGGGATGGTGATGTCGAGATCTAGACCGCCAGGCACGGGGATAGTGGAGAGGGTACTACTACATAACGGATAAGCTCTCTATTTCCGGCAAGGAGGCATAGGTTTGGACAAGGGGGTGGGGGGAAATGCTTACCCTGCTGCGACTCCTGCCTGAGGCCTGGCCTCACGCGCGGAGAGGATCGAAGACGGAGGAGGACCAATCTCTGTGTCTGGCAAGGCTACCGACGCTTTGTCATCTCCACCCGCCCCTTTCGCCTGGACAGAGCCAGTCGCAATAATGCCACCTCCCCTGAGGATGTCAAAATCGAACTCCGTCGACCACAGCCCATCTCGCGCCAAGCGCCTCATCACAGAGAAAGCATCCGAGGCCTCATCGTATCTAATTGGTCCCGGCTGAGCCAAGAGCTTCAGGCTGAGCGTCTCGCTGTTGATTGTGGGGCTCACTACCATCTCACGCTTACCGTAGAGGTTGCAGAACCGGTAGGCATTGATTAGGACACTGGCGATCTCGTCGTTACTCACACGTTTCTCGCGATGGGCGAATATTTGTACGCTCAAGTCGGTTTCTGGGATGGGCACTGGCGGTGCTTGAACTTTGGCGCTGCTGGCGTCGCTCGTTGCGGGAAAGCTATAGGCATGGTTGATTAGAGCTAGGAGGCAAATTGAAGCAATCGGTAGGGAAAACATGGTGTTGTCTTCGTGTCTGTGGAGTCAAAGCGCGATCACGAACATGGCGTCTTGTGTGTCTTTATATTGTGTATTCCCGCGTATACCTGTCTCGTTTTGGCTGCTCGCCGGAGCGCGCGAAGTCCTTCGTTCAGTTCATTACGAGCGAACCCTAAAAAGTACTATTGTGGGATCCAAAGTCTTATTGCTTGACAAGACAATAGGAAAATATGGTTATAGCAAATGTCGCTAATACCCCTTTTTGTTCTATCTTTGGAGGCAAATTGATCCGCTTGCCGAAAGTCTCACACTGTGAGGGATATGACCTCTTTCTCCGTAGATTTGAGACTACATCCATAGGTAACAAAACGCTCTTTGTTGCTGTTAAGCTTTTGGGGGATTCCTTATACTAAGATATGTTTTGCATCAATTATGCTATTAAGATAGCTTAAACAGACGTGGAATGGCTTCCCGCAAAGCAGGTCTCAGTAGCGTTGGGCTCAATAGTTTTGGCTGAGAGAGCTTGAGATCATGTCTTTTTCTTGCACTTTTAGTTTTCGTTCTGATAAAATTCGATGCCTCAGCTGTCGAGCTACAGAAAGAGTCTATTTGCAGTTTGAGCAGTGCGTTTGACGTAAAAACCCTTTAGCTCACACTCACGTCTACGGTACGACTCATGTAGATCACATTCTGTTTAAGACTAACAATTCAGGTAGTCGCCATTCCCGCATCGCTAACAGGAACATCAACGCCCTCTACTTGAGCTGTCTTTTCATCACTGGTCAAACTCCCTAGCTCCCCCTTCGCCAACTGCATAGCGAAGCCCTTAAAGATCGTAAATTGAAAGTCTGCAGCTAACTCCCCTTCATCTACTTGTGCTTTCAGAACAGCAATAGCCTTCGCGCCGTCGCTAAAGTTAATCGTGTTCGGACCAAGATTCTGTGTTGGACGTAGGGTAAGCCCAAGCTTGGAACCTGTAGCCCTCCAGTGTTCAGTAACAGGTATTGGCGCCTCGCCGGACTCCTCGAGATGTTTCTGAAACGATTCAAGGAAGGTAGACATAGCGGTGGGATCGATATGCTTAGCCCACCCCGGGACTTCAATGTAGACGTTCAGGGTTGTGCCTGGGACGGGGATTGGGCCGCGGTTGCTATTTCTTTAAGCATCATAGAAAATCCTCAGTGGGAGAGGCACTTACCTAGCAGGGGCTGCTGTGTCAGGCAAAGCATTGCGAGCGCTGATGGTAGTGGCTGATACGTCGTGAGGGTTCTTATCTCCTGTAGCAGGCAAGGCTAAAGTGAGGTACGAGAATGCTGCTAGGGTTGTTAGGGCAATCACTGATGTATACATTTTATCTTCTGCTGGATTCGGTGGAGAGGCTTGTTGGGTTATGTCTCGCTGGATTCAGTAGAGAGGTTTATTAGCTTATGTCTTTTGCTGGATTCAGTAGAGTGGTTTCTTGGGCTATCATGCTTTTTATCAGTCGCTAGTCTGTTGATTGACATGCGCTGAGGGTGGCTGTGTTGATACACGAGTTTGCGTAGAGGCGCAACATTATGCGCGACATGTTCTTTTCTTTTCTTAGAACGTAAACTTTCAATCAATCAGAGCTTAGGTTTTCATTGTCTCGTCAGCAGTCTTCTCAATTTCTCGATTAGGAAAAGCATAGCACTTCCTGACAAACCTTGCGCACGAGCTTACGTTTGCACTTCGATCATAGAAGCTATGAACACACTTTGTTCCAGTGGTAGAACATGTCGAAACAGGGAACGCGCTTCACAGTGAAATAGGAAGCTACAATTATACTGACATATACTCTTCTATTTAGTGTCGTTGTCGCAGTATCACTTTTCAACCCTGCTCAACCCTTTTCAGTGTCAACTTTCGGAATCCTAAGCCATCAAACCGTTGCAAAATGACACAAAACACAAAAGATTCCAGGCTGAGATGTCGCACCTGTCTTTAATTTTTGCAAATGTGTTCAACAGAAGCGAGATATCTGTCTTCACTGAATTTCATCTCATGCGTCCAAATCCGTGCCAAGGAGAAACTGTGATCTTGACCCTGACCTTTGACAAAGCTCTGGAGAAGCCAGGCATTAAGGTCAGAAACGGGTTGGACTGATGGCGTGCCGTTATGCCTACAGCATGTTGATTGCTTTTTAACCAGTGCATAGCTTTGTTGGGGAGGGAAAGAAGCAGTAGCTGAAAAGATTGCTATTTGACACAGGCTTGCGAAAAGGTCGATCAAATAAAAGAAGTCTCGAAGTCAAAAAGCCCGCGACGCTGTCGACACGCTTGACGCTCACGAGCAGCAAGCTTAGCGCGATTTGAATCAATTTAGGTCCTTGTTTTCCTTCCCAATGTGGACCCAGCAGTAGGTCCAAAACAACCCACCCCACCCCGCCCATCAAGCCCGCAAAGCACACCTCTCCAGCTCAACAAAATCCGAGGACGCAGAAGCCATCTACGGACACACACTCCCGCGCGGCAGAGTCGCCGATATCAAAAGAGCATATAGCGAGGACAAGGATACGCAGAGCACCGCGTTTCGAGAGAAGCTGATATGAAGACTGCGGAGAAAGAACTTGCAGAGAAGAAGCCCGCCAACAAGCCAACTTCCATAGACTTGTCGAGCTTCGTACGTTTCAGTATAATAAAGACTATGATAATCGTCAGCTTCCACTGTATAGCGACAAATGCTGCGACAAGAGTTAAAATTTCGCTAATAGTAAGAGTAGGCTTTTCAGATTCTCCACTTGACACATTGTTGCTATTTGTTATGGCTGGAATAGAGATGGATGCCGCATCTGCTGTGTCGAAGAAAGCTATATTCTAATAAAGCATATACTTAATGAAGTTAATTTGTAATACTTTTGTGGTCCAAATCCCGGATATAGAGCTGCAAATAGTATGTATGTCTATTGCAGTGCTTGGATGGTTATTGAAAGATGTTCACCCCTATTCATTGACCTCAGAGTGATATTGAGCGGGCATCAATCGATTAGCTGCGAGATTAGTGAATGAGTCACACTGGGTGCAGATTAAAAGCGCAATGCATCTCAAGGCCATTCCATACTCACAATTTGCTGAATATCAGGTCTATGAGGGGCAATATGGCTCCAGCGACAACATCGGCAGTAAGCGCGACGAAATTGAGACATTAACTTGTAGCGTCTGAGGTGAAGATCCGCTGCGATAGTAAGCAGCTCGTAGAGCTATATGCCGGGTCATACTCACTAGGTATGGCACAAAGCCCCTAGCACCTTCTTTCTATCGCTCTCTATCTCTGCACTTCAAGCGAAGGGAGACTGCTTTCTTGGGCATTCCTCGTCTTGCGGAACTTCTCTCCGTTCTTGTATATTTGATAAGCTGAGAGTAGAGAGATTCAACCTTGCTGTGGCTTATACAGAGGTATAAAAGGCCACAGACGCAGTCCATTGTTATTACAGCGATTGTATAGGTTATATAGAGTGACACCAACCCTAAACCTAAGTCTGCCTCTTGCAGTCCCTTCTGTATGCGTGCACAGTTTTTGACTGACTTTCTCCTGCCCAAATAGCCGCAAACGTACTATTAACGAAGCCTTTGCCGATTGATAGATATAAAACCATTACTGGGATCTTTGTGGCAATCCTTTGTCCATCATCTTGCGACGTCGTGACCACAACTATTCTGCCCAATATGCGCTTGCTGCCGTTGCTTTTCAATCCCTAACACCGAGCGCCTCTGAGCGCTTCCAGCCTGCCGTTTGGTCTTTCTAATACTGTCTTTGAATTTGCTTCCTACTTGTCCCAAGGATATTGTGCTTAATTTAAAAACGGAAAAGAAATTCTCTCCTTAGGGTCTTGAGACATTGACTAAGGGAAAAGGTTTATCCGAACCCCGCCGAGCACCGAATAGGACATTGGCCCTACTGACAGGACAGCAAGCACATCGCGCGATCACGTGATCAGGCGAATCTTGGTGCACTTGTGCGACCTCGAACTCTTTTAAGCCTACAATTCCCTGATCCAATTGTGCGAGCTTTTTCGAACCACCACTCTTCGCCTGCCGACAAGCGCATGAACACACAATCCTCTTACGTGCTTCTCTCACCTCTCCCAAAGCGACTACGCTCTGACCACTCTCAACCTTCACACGCTGACGACCGCGCTCCTCAAGCGAAAAGACAGAAGCAGAGACTACAAGTGATATCAAGACCTTCAAGAAGCTATTGGGACGGCCTCAGCAAAGTACACCTCACAAAAGCGGCTCTACGCGAGCATGGCAGACGTCTGCGACGACGTTCAGATCTCAGTGGCACCACGTGCGTTTCGAATTAAGCGCAGGTGGTTCCGGCAGACATAGAGCAATTTGCACGGCACGGGGGACCGGACCTGAGTGAACTTCGTAGCGTAAGTAGCCTATCTTACTCTTTCATACACCTACTAATGCGTCATCAGTGTCAAGAAATCGAAAGCACAGGCGGGACCACCTTAGCAGAAGAAGTGCCGCCAAGAAAGAATGTCAAAACCAATAGCTAAGAAAACTCCTCCCACAATCCTTCCGCTTACGATGCGAATTTCCACCAGCATATGATCGACGCCGGTGTCTATCCCGCGTTCAGTAATCTCCACAAGGATGGCCCAGTGCATCCAACCAACCTGTCGAGTATACAAGAACGCCTAGAGCAACCTCGCCGCTCCCTATCCCCCTCCCGCTTCACAGATGCAGACTTCCTCGAGTTCCAGGTGAAGGATCATGAGGCCCAAAGTCACGTCATCATTTTAAAAAACATTCTACCTTTGATTCTCGGCAGCTCCAATGTCCCCGAAGCGAGCGAGATTCTTTTCACTAATATCAAGAGTGTTCCTGCGGATAACTTTACTCAGCTGAAACCCGATATATATGACGGTGTCGATCCTTCCAACTTGGACGCGAACATACGCAATATACTGAGCCGTTATATCGAGCCATCTAAGAACTCCTCATGCCCCTGTCTTCCAAACGCCTATATCGAAGTCAAAGGCAAGAACCAAAGCCCGCAAATTGGGCAATACCAAGCCCTCCACGACGGCCTCATCGGCGAACGCGCCATGCTTAAAATCATCCAGTACGCCAACAACGACGAAAGCCCCAACAATGCCGCTCACACCATCGCAGCTATCTACCACGCCGGCGACGCCCTGCTAACCCTTTACACGATGCACGCAATTCAAAGAAATGAGCACGGCGAACAAGAGCGGATCGGGTATCGCCAGACGCAGCTAACAGGGTTCAAGATGGATAGCCGCCAGGACCAGTGGATTGCCGGTGCTACTACGCTAAGGAATGCACGGGAATGGGCACGTGAGCAGCATGAAAACGCGGTCACGAAGGCTCATGATGCAATTGATCCCATGTTGGACTTTGGCAACGGATAGTGAAAAGGGGGACGATGATGCCAATGATGATGATAATGATAATGAAGATGAAGAAGAAGAAGATAATAGTGATAATGGAAATGAAAACGACGATACGCCTGCTGATAATAGCCGCCGTCGCCGTGGCCCTGGGCGTCCGCCTAGCCGTGCAGGGTGGCAGAAACGTGGTCGGGGGCGGCCGAAAGGTGATCGCTCTGGAGTACAGGGCTGAGTAGACGTATGGGAGGCCAGGAATAAGATCTGGCTCATCTATGCGCTCTCTTTGCATAAAACCCTGCGGCTTTAAAGGGCCTGAGAAGGCTAACCGCATAGCAATGAAAGCACACGCTATCTAAGGAAATTAAACATTGGTGCCTTGATTGAATGCCTACCCATTGAAGACTGATAGCGGCGAATCGGGCATCCTCTGCCAACCTACTGAGCTCATGCTGCGACTCAAGAACATGAACAATCTCGCCAAAGATGCGCAAACTGGGTAACAACCTCTACTCTCACGTTACAATAGCAGGCGCATCTTTAGTCACATCCCCGAAATCACCAACTCTAACCCTAATCTTCCCCCCAGCTCCCAAGAAGACCTCCCCTCCAGACTCAGCATACTCCGAAGCACCCCAACAGTAGCTCGCCACGACAAAGGCAGCGTGATGCACCTCCTTCCAGTCAGCATCATCCGTCGCCGAGTCTGGTTGCAGATCAATTACTACGGAGCAAGCGTCCCGACGGCGGAATGTCGCGGGCAAGTGCGCAGGCGAGGTCTCGGGCGCCGAGTTCGAGAAATGTTGGGTTTGGCCCCATACTTTGTGGGTGGTGGTGATAATCCAGTCCGCGGCTGCGATGCAGGATTGGGCGGGGGTGATCTTGGGATTTTGGGCGTCGACTCCGTAGCATGTTATTTTGCCGAGCGATGTTAGGTTTGTGGCTGTGTCGGTGAGGGTGGTGAGGTTTTGGCCCTGCTGCGAGCTAGGCAGGGCGGTCGCGGGGTGGATGGAGCTGAGGAGTATGGTGAGGGTGGGGATGACGGATATGATGGAACGGAGAGTAGGCATGGTGGCTGGAACCTTTCGCGCTTTGACTTCGCGAGGCACAGGATGTGGTGATATGCAATGATGACGGTGTGGGAGGATTGAAATCGCTGGAGAAAGAGCTTGGTTTCCCAAGTATGAGGGAGAAGATGGTCCTGACTTATGTAGCCACGTCCTGTTGTTGTCGTCCAAGTGCTCATGTCTTACTTCTAGGTATAATACAACATTGTCTAGATTGGCTTACCTATCGCAATCCGAGGAAGATCCCAACCTCTCTCAACAGGTTATGTTGCGATTCTCCATACTCGTTGGTTTGCTTCTCTTCCAACGCTGCTAGGCGTTGTAATGTCTTAAAACTAATCGCATACGCGAGCATGAGCATGGCGCTTCCCAAATGCGTCTGGATCCCGTACGTATTCTTTCTATTCTTCTCCGTAGACCGGGAGCTCAAGAAATCATCAATTTTCTATTGTCTTATTGAATATGCTATAGTAGCCTTAGGGATTTAGAAAAAGAAAAAACAAAGTCTCCCGGGACTTTTTTCCAGGGCTTGGCATTTCTTATCGATAAGATAGCGGTTTTGACACTAACCCCGGCCAAACTGATAAGACAAAGCTGCCGGGGCGCGTCACCAGATTCCATTTCATATTTTGTTTCTCGACTATCAATCGCACCATCACCCTCATCGAGTCGTCCCTAACCCCCGCGCATTTTGCATTGTGCACTTTGCTATGAATACCGTCCCGAACAACGCTGTCGTTGTCGCATTCCAGAATGAATGCTGATCATAAGGTCGACGGTATTCCCCTTACCCTTCAGCAATCATTCACTTACCACTGGTGCCTCTAGCCCCGCATCACCGAGTCTTCACCCCCAGCTGATCCTAACTTATCCTCATCTCTTGATGAACTCAGCAACGATGCCTCCAATCCACCCTTATCACCAAGTGCCCAGCCGATGAAGCAGGAAGAGCCACTTGTTGCAAGCCACCCACCAGAGGTAAGGCCCAAGTTCTCCACGCGTATGCAACTTCGGGTAACATTCACAAGACTAATGACCTCTTTTGCTCAGGTCCAGACACCTCTTCACCGCCTCCAGCCCTCAATTGACCTCCCATCTCCATCATCCATTCCATTGCAAAAGCCACAGGCCATTCGTACAAATCTCACCCACACCCCCATTCAGTCTCCTCCACAGAGCGTCTCATTGCTCCCCAGTCCAGATCTGAAAGCGGGCGACTCGGTGCAATCACAGTCTGGTACAAATCAGAAGAAGCGCAAAAGATCCCCATCAAAGGTAGGCGCGGAGACCGCAGCAGCCCATCATCGCTGACATGTGCATGCTTCCAGCAGGAGTCCAAGCTCCATCACCGCCCACAAATCTCACCTTCACATCGACCAACAGACGGTCTTGCTGTCCACCCCTCGCCTCCACAATCCCTTCCCCTCACGCGAGAAAACCTAGGCCTAGTGACAGGCAGCATGCCCGCGAAACCAAGCACACGCGCTCAGAACACTACCCAAGCTTCGACTAAGACGACAAATACTAGCTCAGGCTTCTCTGTTGAGAGGTTGTTGGCAATGAACAGTATCCTTATTGAGGATCCAGTAGCCAGGGACACAGATGGATACAAGACTGTGGTGGATGACACCCACGCTGTTCTCGATGTTGAGCGCCACTCGCCTAATGTTGGTGGACACGAAGACAAATACTGGAAGGAACTGCAAGAGGATTACTACGAGGCGAATGAAGCGACGTACCGCGATCAGTTCTTCATGCCGTTTGTGGGCCGAGAGCGCAATGTCAAAGATGACGATGGGATGTGGGGAAAGCGCGCTTGGAGACTGGATGGCCTTGATGTCAATTCGAACCAGCCCTTCCAGCGTCAATCTTTGCCCAGAATAAACGCATCTGGCGACTGGAGGAAGAAATTCAATCGGAAGACCCACAGCCGTGTGAAGAACCCTGTTCCGGATCTTGCATACGGACTCCATAGCAAGCAATTCAGCCAACTTGAAATGGACATCCTCATGTACTACAACATCTACACTGGAATCTCCGAACGCATCTGGCTTCCTGGCGTCATTATCGAATTCAAGCAGCAGAACATGCGTGCAGCCAAAGCGCAGGTTGCTCGGGGAGGGTCAGCTCTTTCCAATACACTTCATCAACTTGGGATCGCAGCCGGCAGAGACATGATGGCGTTGGGAGCTGACACCAAGAGTGTCGTCCGCTCCATCGCAATGACTCACGAGCTAGCCCGTATGTTCGTGCACTGGATCAACATCTCAAAGCATCCGGACACGGGCGCCCTGATAACCACTTTCCACATGCATCAAGTGGCCAGCTGGACCTTCGAATACGGCACCCGCGGCATCTTCGACCAGCGCAAGGCGCTCAACAACCTGTTGCAGGATCTTGTTGGAGCACGCAAGATCTGGGTCAAACAACTCCTTGCTGATATCGCTACGCACGGCGATGCCAGAAAAATTCCCAAGACCATTGCGCTACAAGAGGAAGGCACCGATTTTGCTAAGGGTGACGGGGATGATGGGGACAGTGAGGACGAGGACGAGGACGAGGCTTATGGAGGAAGCAACGAGCTGTGCGGTGGCGTGGAGCAGGAGAACAGTGGTGACGAAGTGGGCGCTGGGGGCAAAAAGCGCAAGCAGAGGGCTTAAATAGTATGCAGCAGCTTACTCAATATACTGTTCAACGATCCTGGCCTTGCCTAAAAATCGCTGGGAGCCACTAGTGCGTGGCTGAGCAAGTGCGTTCCCTCATCGACCTTGTCTGCACCGGCAAATTGTTGGCCGTTTGTGATCTGGTTGGGATGTGAGACATCCTGTCACAATGATATTGATACCGCTCTTACCGTTCGAGTCATAGACGTTTATCTGTCCTCCCAATTCGCTGCGTAAAGTTGCCATTATCACTTCCGAATTAAATTCTAGAAAGAACAACAACGACGCTGCTTTCTGCCCGCACATACGAATATCTCCGTTCCACCTTCCGGAATGTACCGCACGAGAATGCTCTCTAATTAGGTAGATAAGTCTGTTGGTACGACTGCAAGTTTGAAACAAGCCTCTGACACCCTTCATTCATTAATCAAGCTTGCTTTACTACTCTGAAATTAGTACCGAGAATGTGGGATCACGCGTGTAAGTAACTCTGGTCTTTCCAACGCGTCTGCATTTCGGGGTTCTCTGAGGTCTTTCCATTTTAGCAAGTTAAATATGGCTAAGACTCATGACGTCGATGATTGTGACGCTTAAAAGTGGATAATAATCAATTTTTGATAAGCGTACTTTGGTCGAATGGTCGGCGATGAAAGGTCAGCGAGATCGAGGAGGTGGGATTCGCGCCCGAGGAGAAACGCGGCGAAGGCGGATTCACTGACTTGTGGTCTGTGGGGATGGGATGCGTTGAAGAGCCATGCGTCGTGAACTTCGTTGTTGCTATTGCTATGGTTTGTGGGTGCAGGAATGCTGCGTAAGGGGTTTTATGGGTATGGTTTGTGAGCCGTCGCCGAGTACTCTGAAAATATGACTGTCTGGGTGAATTCAAAGTGTGGAGGCATTGTCTCTGGCGGTAGTAGATTTTCGGCTATCATTTATCAACTCCGATCGGGTTAAATCTTGCGAGTCGAGATACTATTAGTTTGTCCTTGTTTAACACAAGCTATGTGTTATAAGGCAACAACTTCCCTTAGCGGGATGCTTGACTGGGCGAATGAAGCGCATGTGGTAACCTTAGCATTGACGGTATAAGGAACTTGGAGTTTGAATTGCCTCATTTGGTCTCAGAGTTTAACACCATAAATCTCAAGTTCTCTATAACGATTGTTGTTCACCCAAGCACATAGCTGCGTTGAAGATTATCTAACAACCTGCCGTCCCCTTGCCAAGAGTCTTCTCCTTAAGCTTCATCATTCGGTGGCACTGTACGAGGCCGCGCGGGAACACTAGGTCGTTCGCCGGCTCCATCAGCCTCCAAATCCTGAACTCAGTCACGCACGAGGCAGGGACTCTGGACATGTTCTCTAGCATGTCCCAGTTCTTCATCATGCTTGTATGTAGCTTCTCGAATGCGGTTCAGGGCATGCTGTTGTACTTCCGTATGTTCGAGATCTGCCATGCTCGGACAAGGTGTCAATATCGACGAGGGTTCCCGCCAGTATTCATCTCCGCGACCAGAATGTCAAGCTCTTCAACGATCTCGACCAACAGCGCGTACTTCAACGGAACGACGCACTAGGCTACTGGTAGATACGGGTCTACGCTTGGGCGTCATCTCAGCGTTCCCGTGGTCCTGCAATCATTCAAAGACTCGTAGGGAACTCTTATGAGGCTAAGATGCCTCTGTAGGCTGTATCTGGGGGAGATGTGGGGTTGTAGGATGGCGAGTCACGGTGAAAGATCACGAAAGGGCCATCGTCTTTGTGCGTCCGCTTCCATCTCTTTCTGAAGGGTGTGGACGTGCTGGAGGGTTTGCAATAAGGTATCGAGAGGAAGGTAGCGAGTCGACTTAGGGCTTCAAAAGAATCGTGCTCGTGCTAGTACAATCTCGTGAGTGCATATTTGACATATCTCTTGGCATTACATCATATCAGCTTAGTCATTTGCTTAGTCATTAGTGTTCCGCTGAATTCTTGGCGCTCTTGTTGTCATCGCGACGTTGTACAACTTCAATCAACGACAACATTTTCCTAGTCGTGTCTACGCAACTGCGACATCAGCTTCACCAGGCGTTATCAGCGCACAATCTTTCGGATGCAGTCATCACCGACAGTGTTGCCATCATGCCGCTCGCACGTCCCTATGAGCCTCAAGAACGCGACCAATACCCCGCGCCCAGCGCTCGAATCATCATACATCATCCAGGCTACGCAGATGGCTATGACACACTGATACGTCTGGACGGGTTCGACAAGAAAGATACATCATCGTCGCTCGGTCTGCACATGGGCACAGCTTTGGTCATATGCGGCATTATTACAAGTCACTTCAGTGGGTACTTTACACGCGTGAAAGAGAAGGAGGCTCAACAGATACAATTTGAGGATGATGCAGTTCTTGAAGGTGGAGATTACTACCTCCATATTCCTGGCGACGAGACCTACGCCGTGTGCCCCGCTTTCGAGCATTGGAAATTTCCTCACGATAACCCTCTGTCACCGTGGGCTTGCTCGGCCATCTCCCACTCCTCCACAGGCATTCAGCCTAACAAGAGCTACGCCCATCAATCGTCAACCTTTACTCGAGATCAGGGATGCCTAGTCAGTCGATATCGAGATATGAAAGAGGCTTGTCATGTATGCCCCGCAGAGGAGTTGGTTTGGTTTCGGCAAAATAACATGACCAACTATATTCTTGACACGGATGTGCTCGCAAATGCCTTACTGGAGGATGTCGCGAACCTCGTCGCCTTGCGCCGCGACATACATAAATCCTTTGACGATCGAGAATGGGCATTTGCGGGGAAAGAGGGTGTTTGGTCCGTGCATTTTTTGAAGCCGACCAACGATCTGGGGCCAACTTACCACAATCTCCGGGTACCTGATCTACAAGGCAAAGTGTCAGGTCAGCTTCTCCTGACTAGACTGGCGTGGGCGGTCCTTCCGCGCATGAGGGAGTTCTGGTCAGGCCCCTCGAAACGATGGGTGACTGTACGCACTGTGAACGAATCCGATGGTACAACGGGATGGATCAAGAAATACCTCAACCAGCAGGAGACAGAAAGAATGATGCGAAAAAAGAGTCGAAGCCCCGCCAAACGCAAGGCTCCTGACGGTGATGGCCAAGATGCTGTGGAAGAGGAGGGAGCAGATTGTGGCGGTTCTGAAAGCTCTGAAGATTCAAACTGGCACTGGCCGAGCTCTTCGGAGGAAGATGACTCTCCACGGCGCGGCAGAAAGAGAAAGAGGAGCAGCGCTTCATCAGCATACCAATCAGTGTCGCTACCGCCTTGCAAACAAATCACAACCTGTTCGGATCTTCCCTCTTACCACAATACCCACCCCACACCCGACGTCGAGCATGTCGTATGAAGGTTTCGGAAAAGCGAATTCGGGTAAAGCAGTAAGAAAGCGAGGCGTTAAAGGCTGGTTTGGTATGATACCCAATGATCGATCGAAAGTGATACGCAATTTGCGTTTGTATGTATGTATGCACATGAAGTACAGACCTGGCTTCACGGACTTGAAGTGCCATTGTACTGTGTTCACCTCGCAAGTCTTTTGGGGATACTTGCGTGCTTATGCAGCGTCGCACCTATGCTGTCATTGCCTCCTGCGACAGGTACTCGATGATCAAACCTTTGCGCCATGGTCGACGTCTGAACGAGCTTAAATCCTGGTGGTATCCTACCGGACCTGAATCTTCTGCTTGCCATCGTTGCCATATCTCGGAGTACACTTGCAAATCCCTTTCCTGCGCGATCATGCTTTCCGTCCCTTTCGCGGTGCGTACGAGGCGATGCATAGGCTAATTACTTCAAAGCTCCACAATTTCCAGAAGGACTGTTCTTCAACACATGTGCCATGGTTATGACCACCCGAGCATTTTTACTGCCTAACAATCCCAAGGAAGCTCAGCTCTTGAGCCTCTAAACGCCGCATATACACTTAATAACCATCTATTCTTCCTCAATCATCACCAGTGCGCCTGCCTTTTAACAACCCAAACAAGACAAAGGCGAACAAGCGCAGCCCATAAGCCTTTCCCTTACAGATATTTCAATCGCAATCTTGAGCTCAGGTAATCGTCTTTCTCCCCCTGCTTTCTTCCTCCAACAAGCGGCTCAGCTCCTAGAATCGCGTCCGTCGCTGCTTCAATTGGCTTTTCACGCTGTCGCGCCGCTGTTGTTAGCTCTGATAGCAAAACGATCATTGGTCTCCCATAATCCACACATAAAGGTTCAGAGAAGAAAAGCCCACGATCTTGTTCCCCAACCATGAACTCCACTCCCGCCGAGAGTGCTTTCGCCGCCTCTCCCTGCTTCACCAGCTTGACGTCGCTTTTGCGGATCTACTTCTCGGAAAATTGGTGCAGGCTGCGTGAGAAGTCGGCGTCGTGCAGCTCCGCTACGTCTTCTGAGTGCGATTCGGACAAGATATAAGCTGTGAGGGACATCAGCCCCGTTTGCAAATTCATATGCTGGCGCAGGGGGGCTGGCGCTCTCGGCGAGGCTCGTGGAGTGCAGGTGCTTGAGCACTTCGCGAGCGCTAGCGATATCAGTGTTGACAGAGGTGAGATTAGAGAGAGAGAGCGCTTAAGGGAGTTGGTGGTGATTGGGGTGGTGGTGATTTGCGTGAGCGGATGGATGGGAGCTGTCAGCGTAGGAGGGTGCGCCTCTTTTCCTGTTTCGTCATGTGACATTTCTAGAACGGAGGAGTTTGTCGTGATTGTATGGTCCATCATGGCCTGGAAGCAGCGTCTCCAAATCTTAGCGGAGTTGAATGCAGGGAGCGGTTTCATGGCGATGCGATACATGGCTGTTACGCAGGCGAAAACCCTACAGCTGTGAGCGTCGGTCTGTTGCGGGTATGGCTCCTGATGCAAAGTCCATTTATATCCGTCACCAGCATCTCCAAAAAGTTCTTGAGCCGCCTGGAGTAGGCGTCATTCGTGTGGTGTGGAGTGGAGGGATAGGCGGAATCGTAATGCTGGATGGAACATAGCTCTTTGGCAATGATGGCGACAGTCCAGTGTTGGGATGGTGTTGATGTAGGGGAATAATGGCGAATCTTGTCGTGATCGGTAGTAAGCGCAATTTTGTGGGGTTTTCGTGAGAGAGATCTATTGATGAAGGGTCCAGAACGTGGACACCGCGATTCTCGAGTGTCTTTAGCAATGATTCTATTGTCGTAGACGAGACTTGTCTACCCGGATGGAGACTACTTGAAGCACCTTGCTTATTTAGATTGGTATCATGGAGGCAGCGATATTGTGCTCTGACCCGTCCGTTGAGGCTGCGCCTAAGGTACTGAACTGCTTTTGCAAACTAGTCAAGTTAAGGGAACCGCTTGGTGACGGTGATTGCAAAGCTGAAGTCGCTTGAAGCGGTTCACAGGACGCCGCCCGTGGACGAGTAATGTTATTGCAAACGCGTTGGGGCTCTGATTTAGTCAAAACAGCAGAAGCGGGCTTCTGGAGAAGCGTAGTCTGACCAGTGAGGGGTGTATGTGGGAAAGGAGGCGTCACATGTCGAGCATGTGCGAGCGTACTTGTGGCAGAGAAATCATTGCCCATTCAACCAAACTGACTTGTATGATTGTCCAGTCGCTCGTCAGAGGGGGATCCCACAGAAGGGAAATTGAACTCGGCGGCATCCGTATAGTTGTCCTGCTGGTGAAAGCGCCCAACTTCGGGCGTGAATGGTTCTGAGTTCGCCGGCTCTGTGCCTACCAATACAGCAGCACAACCAGGGGGCATGTCAGTCACATGAGCTTGGTGATTGCACTTTCGTTGTTTCGCTGCTGGTTTGATCGCTCCCGCCTCCGGCTTAGGATTCTCCTGACTCCTCTCTTCGGGCGGTCGCATCGCTTGTTAATCTCTTTGATCATGCGTTTTCGCCCTTCGGCCAAGGATATCAAACGGCTGAGTTCGGCGATCGATTGAAGAACCGGTATAGTTAGGATCTTATCGGGAACATATAGACTTCGGTCAAGGACTCTTCTAGAAGGAACGTGCTAATTCTCGTGAATCGTGTATTCATACGAAGTAATCCACTGCTGTGCATCCTTAAGCGCTTTCCATGATGCTAGTCCACCTGAGGCAAGTCATTAGCATGGCCACCTACTACTCGAGCAAGGGGCAATGGACTGCACTTACCACTACTAAGACTGGCATTTGTTCCATATTCCCATTGCTCTATCCGGCGCTTATAATTCGTTGTTTTCTTATGTGTAGCCACAATGGTGAAGATTTCGTCAATATCGCAGGCAGCCTGAGAGGTGAATGCACCTACCACGTCGGCGCGTGCGTTGATCGCTGTCAATGCTATTGCTAGGAGTTGGTCTGGATCTTTACACTCTCTCAGCATGTCAGCTCTTGCAGATCTTCCCTTGCTGTTATTAGTTGAAGTTCCTCAGGCTGAGCGATGTCAAGGCTAATGGCGCTACTTTGGCTGTCTTCTGCCGCCGGCTGTGCTGCTATATCTGACGCTTGAAAAGCAGTAATATGGCGCGCCATATGCTGTCATCATTTGATTTTCATTTAGGCTGTCTAACATGTGCCCTTGAGCATTCTATTGTCTTCGTTGAGCATCACGCCAGCCTATTCCCCCGAAATATTCATATCTCTCAGCCGTCTCCACTGGCTTGGTGGTATGCAAGCACGCAGCAGCAGACGTGACAGTTGGGATGCTTAACAAATACCCTTCTTCTCCACGTTCTATGCGACTGCCTTTCGCCCAGAGGAGTCGTCTTGCTTCGCCATCTCGTTGTCCTCAATCGCGGTTGCCCCCAACGACACCCTCCTTTCTCTGATTCGATCATGCAGACGATGTTGCAGGTGCCATCACTTTGCATCTTAGGTTCTGCACTTAGATCTTGGGCCCCATAATGTTCATGGCTCTTGCTCGCTGTTCGGCTGGACCTCTGGCTGTACATTTTCCTGGTCTCTCCCACATGCCATCGTTGGTTCATCCCTCGTCGTATCATACTCCCGCTCCTCTTCTTCGATGTTTGCCATTTGGCTGGAAGCCTCCTCCTGAACGTCGTCAAGCTTTGTACATCCCATGCTCAATGGACTAGGCCTCTGTTTCTTCTTGCGCTTTCGGTCGTGAGCGTTGAAGCCCGTGGAGTGGCGGACACGGTTGCGGAGTTCTTGAAGGGGGTTTCTTCGCGGTCGGAGAATCATGTTGCTGCCAGAGGAGGAGTGTTGTGGATTGGTGGGGGGGAAGGAACGCAGGCTTCGCTGAGGAGAGCTTGAGGATGTGGTAGTCGGGGAAGATGCTGCATGCGCACATTCGTCAGCACCAAGGAATACGGAACCATAGAAGGCAACACACGCTTCGGTCTCTTTGCATACTGATCGATCGCAATGAGCCGTTTGTTCCCGTAGTCCCAGAGCCACCGTATCAGAGCTTGTCTTTCGCGGCAGTCGCTGCCAATGTGGAACCTTCTCTTGAACTTCTGCTTTTCAAAGACGAGTATGCTTCCGAATCGTGAGGGGTCAGGATTGATGATGAGGTGGCGCCATGCGCGTGTCTATGTAGATCAGCGTCAGTGAGGCTCGTACTTCCCGGATATTGTGACCCCCACCTGAAATGTGACCTCCCAGCGTAGCCAGTCTCGCGACGAAGCATCTTGGCCTTCCTCAACGTGCTGTCGCAACATCGTGAGCCACCAGCGGTCGAAGGATCCAAGCAGATGGCCAGTGCCATCGCTGATATGGTCATTTCTGAAATTTCTTTGCGCACCTTTAATGGCAGAGGCGTAGCGCGTACCATTGTATTCAACGTCATCTCGAATCATATGAATGAGGGCCTCGTCGAGAGGCTGCAGCAGCTCCATTTCGAACAGATTCTTGTGGGTGAGACGGTGGTAGTGGTTGTTGGTTGTTTGTTTACCTTACAATCGAAAGCGGGGGTCAAGTCTTGGCTCGGCCCAGGATCAACGTGAATCCGACAAAATGCCAAGATTTGCTATCGCGGCGCGGAGTTACTTGCGGCCGAGGTTGCGCAAAGGGGTTGACCAGGACCTTCAGTTGCAGGTGCAGCAGGTGCAGCAATTAGCATCTCAACAACTACAATAGCAATTATCATTAGCATAGCTGCATTTTAACCAGCTTATTGTAAGTATTTAAATAATACCTATTTTAGGGCATGGCTTATTATAGTTGCTTTTTATTAACCTAATAAGTAGAAATTATTATATAATAGCTAGCTAGCTACTATAAAAATAGCAACTATAATAATAATAATAGCTAATAATAATAAGCCTATAGGACTTAGCCTAGCTTAAGAAATTATTAATATTATATAAAAATATTTAAATAAAAGCGTTTTAACTAGCTTATATATATATTAAAGATTTATAAAAGATATTATTATTTTTACTAATTAAATAGCTAATACCTATAGCGTACTTAATATATTTAATAATATTAAGTTTTTATTATAGTTTTTAATTATTAAAGCTTCTTCCTAATAAAAGATATAATATATTAAAACTATTAAGTATATTAATAAACTATAAGCTATAAAGATATAAGCTGCAACTACTACTATAGTTATTATATTACTTGCTTTTCCTTTACTTATATATATAACTATTATAGCAAAATCCCCCTTTAATGCAAGTATAGTAGCTATAGCTTCCTTTTCAGAATATTGCTAAAAGCAAGAAATTATAATTAATATAAAAAACTTTATAAACTAATTAGTATATTTTACCTATAAAAAGCTTAGTTATATATATAGATAAAGGTATAATAAATATTTAGAAAAGAAAACTAGCACTGATATTTATATAAAAGAATACTTATTAAAAAATAAGTTAAAATATATACTTAGCTTAGCTATAGTTTAAATATTAATATTAATTAACTTTAAACTAGTTAAGCTACTCCCTAGCAGTAATATATACTTAATAATATATATTATTAAAAATAGTAAAATTATAAAAAAAATATAGAATAGCTAAAAGCTTTTATATTAAAGGGTAAAACTATAATTATAATCCTTATATATAATATAATTATTAATAAAATCTATATTAAAAATATAAATATAAATAACTTTATAGCTATAATTAAAGAGCTATAGCGCTAGAATATAGCTATTTTAGGAAAATAATAGATTTAAAGAATCTATTAGCTTTAAAAGCTTTAAAAGCTATAAATATATATATTTTTAATACTTGAATTTATATCCCCTATAAACTATAATATAGTAATTAATACCTATAATATATTTTAAAATAATTAAAGCTATAGGGTATATTAATATATTAGCTAATATATAATAAATTAATATTATAAATACTATAAATATAGATATAAAACTGCTTTATATAGGAACTTAATTAAATATAATATATATTTAGAAAAATATTTTTTAAAGGATTACTTTTATTTAAAAAATATTTCTAAGTTTAAATATATATAATATAAAAGACTATATAAGTCTTAGTCTAGAGATTATAAGTAATAAAAAAAGGAGATAAAATATATTAAATAGAAAGTTACTACTATAAAGAAGTTTTAGCTAAAACTTATATTAGCTAAGTTAATTAGCCTAAAGCTTTTACCTGCTTCTATATTTACTTTTAATAAGTTAGCTTTAAAAAGAGCTATAAAAAAAGAAGTAACTATAGCTTTTAAGCGAAAAACTAATAATTAGCTAAATATAATAAAAAAGAATAAAATAAAAAAACTACTAACTAAATAAAAACTAATTAATAGGCTTATTGCTAACTTTACTTATAAAGAATTTAAAGCTAATAAGGAAAATAAAATTAATAATAAAAAAGAAAGCTTAAACCTATTTTTAAATAGCTTAAAGCTATAATAATTAAGCTATACTCTAAAGAAGTCCTAGCTTTTTATTAAAAAGCAGATCTATAAAAACTTAGCTATATAAAAATAAGTTATACTTAATACTTATTAATATTATAGTATAATATAAAGAAAAATAAAATAAAAATTATAGCTAAAGTATTTAGGGATAAATAAATACTAGCTTATTATATTATTTATATATTAGAGCTTTAAAGTAATTTATTTTAAATAACTATTTATTTATTATAGAAATAAAAATATTACTTCTTCTAGCCTATAGATAAGATTTTAAATTAGATAAGCTATAAGCTAGCCTAAATTTATATATATATAAGTAAAGATATTAACCTTAATTTTATATAAATTATTAACTATTCTAGTATATTTTAAATACTAATTTTAAAATTTTTAAATAAAAGATATAAAGACTATATTGCTATTTATAATATTTATTTAGCTTTATTATATATAGCTAAAAAAATAATAACTAATAGTAATATATTAATATTAATTAAAAAAAACTCTTTTTCTATAGTAACTACTAATAGCTTATTATAAAGGATTTTAATGCTTAGTACCCTAATTAGTTTAGAAAACTAATAACTATTAAAAAGTAAGTTTAATATCTTTAAAAGATTATAATAATATATAACTTCTAGCTAGTTATGCTACTTAGAATAATAATAAAACTTTTAAATAATTTTAATTTAAAAAGATTTATAATTAATTTAGCCTAGGCTATTTAAAATATAATATAGTATATTCTATATTATAAGTCCCTAAAATAGCTTATTTTTAACTTTAATTATAATTTAATTAAAATAGTATTTAAGTATAAAACTTTATTAATAGTAGTTTTTAATTACTAGAATTTTAAAGAAATAAATATGAAATTTTTTTTAAACTATTTAATAAATATTATTTAGAACTAAAAAACTTTTAGAATATAAACTAATTTAGATAATACTACTAAATACTTAATTAGTTCTACTACCTAAGCTCTAGAAGCTTCTACTCTAAAAATTAAATAATCTATAAAGATAAAGCTAAACTAGAATAAAAAATATATAGAAGCTATTAATAACTAGAAGAAAATTAAATATAAATATATAATTATATATAATCCTAAAAACTAGGTAATAAAAAAAATAGCTAATAGCTAGAAGAGGAAAGTTATTTAAATAGCTTAAGCTAATAATTATAGATAAAAAGTCTTTAAAACTATAGATACAAATTAATTATTTATATTAAATAGATAGCTAAAAATATAAAAAGCCCTTTACTTTACTTTTCTTCTATAGATTAGGAGCTAAAATAAAATATTATAAATAAATAATATAAAGAAAGCTAAAGCTTTCTAGGCTTTTTTCTTTCTAAAACTACTATTAGCAAATCTCTCTAATATACGCTATAGCTTATAGTACTTCCTATAGCTGTTTTCTTTTCTAGATATTATAAAATAAGAAGTTATTAAAGCTATTAAAAAATCTAAAGCTAATAACGTTTCTAAGCTAGATATAATTACTAATAGAGTCTTAAAAATAGCTCTTCTAGTAATTAATAGCTTTCTTACCGATATATTTAATATAAATCTTAGGCTTTAATACTAGCTAATAATATTAAAAGAAGCTATAATAGTAATAATTAAAAAACCTATAAAGAAAAACAATTTAAATCTAAAATTTTATAAGCTAATTTCCTTATTAAAAATATTAAATAAAATAATAGAATATATTTTAGCAAAAAGAATTTTAGCTATAGTAGAAATTAATTATTTATTACTAGTTATTTATTATAGAAATAAAAAGGCTACTTTTTATAAATATACTATTTACCTATTTATAAAATAAGTATATATAGCCTAAAAAAGTAAAGACAAATTAGTAGTAAGTCTAATGCTTTTAAATATATCTAAAATATTTAACAATATTAATTATAAATAACTTTTTTAAAATATCTATAAGCTTAGATTTAACTTTAACTTAATAGGCTAATTGTAAAGCTTTTTAATAAATTAATCTAGCTAAATTAAAATTATAGTAAAGCTTATACCCTTTTTTAATATAGAAATTAAAATTTTTTAAAAATTATTATTATTATTAATCCTTTAGCTACTTTATAATTATAAAATCTTTAGGGTAGCTAAGAGCAAAAGCTTACTAATAGGATATATAGACAATATATATATACTAGTTATTAGAAAGAATACTAAAAAAACTTATTAAAAGCTAGCTAATATTTATATTAAATTTAAAATATAGATAGACAAGTATAAAGCTATTTTTACTCTTTAAAAATATAACTTAATCTACTTCTTTTAGCAACTAAAATAAGTAAAAAAAAAGAATAAAAGAGGCTAATAAAGCTTAAATTCTAAAAAGGAGTATATATTTAAGAAGTTTGTTTTTCTAAAAGTATTTATTACCTAGGAGTTTAGCTTAACCTAATACTAAATAAATAATCTTACTTAGAAATTGCTTTAAAAAGGGCTAAAGCTTATAAAAAGGCTTTAAAGAGTCTAGTTTAAACTATATAAAAAGTTACTTTACTAGGAATAATAAGGCTATTCTAAGCTACTATCTTTCTAAAGCTATTTTATAGCTATTTAACATAGGTACTACTCTAATAAGGGTAAAAATATAAAAGCTATTATTAAAAGATTATTTAAAGATTTAGAGCTTTCTAAAAAAAAGCAATTATAGTAGCTATAGGAGCTTTCTAATGCATTACTAGTACTATATTAGATATAGAAATAAGTATTAAACCTATAGATTTATAATTAATAAAAATAATCTATTATATTATAGATAAAATCCGCTACTTACTAATCTATTAAAAAATTCTTTAGATATATAAAAAAGCTAATACTAAAAATTAGAAAAGCTAAGATAGTTTTTTATATAAAATTAAAGATATTTTTAATAGCTAAACTTATAATAATAATATACTAATCGAATAAAATATTCTTTTTATAATCTATCTATAATAAGTTTTATTAATAGTAAATATAGCTAAAAACAATAATTTAGGGATTATAGCCTATAACAAAGTTTTAAAAAAAATAAAGAAAAAGCCTAAAAAGTAGGCTATTTGCTACTCTAATAGCAGTAATATTAAAGAAAAAATTAAAGTAGTAGTAGCCTTAATTAATCTAATATATTATTAAAAGCTTATTACCTATAATACCTACTTAAGCCTAAACTTAATTAATATTGTTTTTATAGCTAAAATAGTTAGGATTACTTAATTACTAGTTTTTATACTATTAAATACTTTTAAGTAATAAATAGTATTATTTATTAATAATTAAAAAGTACTTTAAATACTTTAAAATCCTAAGAACAAATTTAGCTAGTATTATATATAAAATGTAATAAAACTCTTTAATTAGCTTTAAAATATAGAAACTATAGTCGAGTTTTATTAGATACTAAGTTATAAAAAAATCTATAGAAATAAGCTAGTCAATAACTTAGCTAAGAAAGCTATAAGCTAAATAGATAATAATAAACTATTTAGACCTACTGCTCCTTACTACCTATTAATTTATAAACTTAGGTTAGCTATAAATTAAAAGATAAAAAATATAATTTTAAAAATATAAAAAAATAATTAAAAGTATTTATTAATAAGCTATAATTTCTATAAGCTAGTAAAGAAGCTTTTTAAAAAGAATATTTTTAAATATATAAATAAACTATAGATTATTATGTTAATTATAATCTAAGCTAAAACAAAAGTAATTAGCTTTTATAGCTATTTATATTCGAAAAAACTAGTTAATTTAGTTATATATAACTATAAATAAAGTTATAAAATAGTTAAGTATTTAATGCTTAACTATCTATTATATATTAATTTAAAAAAAAAGTACTAGGGCCAGAATATATTAGTAGTAAATATTAATAAATAGCTAAAAGATATTTAAAAAGCTATTATAATAACATAATTCCTATTATAGACTAAAACCTTTAAATATTTAGGAAAAGTAAAGCTATCGATAAAGGCTAACTTTATATTATAAAAAGTTTTAAAGCTAAATAACTTTCTAGACTAGTATAAATATAGTTAGCAGCAAAAAACAAGTACCTATAGTCTATAACAATATATATTATAAGAAAGGAAGGAGTATAAAGGCTTATTTTATATTAGTTTATTAGGGGGGCAATAGTTATTAAAGCTATTAATAGTTTTAGTAGTTTAAGTCTACGGTATTTTAGTTAGATTTTTAATTTTCAATACCTACTCTTTAACTTTAATTATTTTAATTGTCTAAAGAGTTAGTAAGTATCTATTCTATTGATATTAAGTAGCTCGTCTGCGTAGATAGCACCCGGCATAGCCCATAAGGCTGAAACGGCGTAGGATTAAAAAAAAAAAAAAAAAAAAAAGGACCTTCAGTTACATCACATTGTGATAGTAAAGAAATAGTCCTGAACCAGCCTTATCTGATGAAATGAAACTTCCTTTCAATCATGGACTAGACCCTCTTCATCACAGAGTTTGATAGCCTCTGCCTCAATCCATCCATCGTGCTTCAACCCGATCATAGTGACAAAACATCAATATCGGAGAGAACGTGACGCTAAGCTGCCATTCATGCCAGAGGCGGGTAAAAAGTTTGGTACGTCTCACCACAAAAGCGTCACTTGTACTTCACAAGGCAGCCAGAAATTGGAAGATATAGACTCACATTGCGGAATGATAAAGGGACCTCAGGGCGCTATTGGACTTTGACCCATCTCCAATGGTTGTGCGTGGACCTTGAGGAAGGCGTTGATGCTTCAGATATTTGCCATCCTAATACTGTAATACGACCCGGTGGCTTTTTGGATAGCACAGTGAAAGGATACATCGATGCGTCGTGGGAATCAATCATTTCAGGAACTACTGGTGCTCGAGATGGGATATATCGGCATCTGAAAGACTTAGCTACTGTAAAGCGTGTCGAAATGCAGTACAATCAGTCATCGCCTTATCCTGCATCCTCTCCGCCTAATTACGAGCATCTCTGGAAACCATCAAGCTCACCGCACGCCTCCTCTCCGCTGAACTATAAAAGCCATGTTCTTCCTGCGCGAAGCGTATCAGATACCAGTGCACTCACTCATAGTCCTTCCCCCACTTCTGGTTCTGAGGAAAGTTTCTCCGAGTTTTTGGAATCAAGAACGGAAAATCCTTCATCCCTAAGCTCGCCTAAGCTACCGCAGATGGAGAGTGCGAAGGAGATTCCTCGTTATGCAATGAGAAGCCGGGACGTTGAAATGCAGGACGCCCCAAGTGAATGGCTGGAAGACAATTCCTTCATGTCCGCCGATGCAAGCTACAATTATTCCGCTTACGCTCCCACTCCACCGGTCCCATCAGCCACGTACCGTTCACAATGCATAACGAAACAAGAAGATACGGATGAACGAAATGTAGAGATGCTAGCTAATGCATTCTTTGGCATTGTAAGAGCTACGCTGGAAGTAGCCGAATATAAAGTCAATCTGAAGTCCCGGAAATGGGAGTTTGACATTGTACAAGGGTTAATATGAAGATACGAAGACCAGGGATAACAGCTGATTCGTAATAGCAAAGAGCACCCTCATATATTCAATATTAGTGGCTATCCCATTCAGGCAAATACAGATCAGACGTTATCTATCGGAGTTGCCCCTACAGGTGGAGACGAACGTCGAGCAAAGATCCCTGCGAGGTCTGAGAATTCTTAACATCCGCATTCACGTTATCTAATTCGCGTACAGTGCAAACGATACGACCATGGTCAGCCTCCGGATCACATAGTAGGCCAGGAACTAGCCGAATTGTTAAGTGAGGCAGCCCGGCAGTGGGATCTGGCTCCTGGGCGCGAGGTCTACGAGGTACAGTCTGCGTAATACATATGTCGACTAGGCTAACGAGGTAATTGAGACCTGGCTTATGGCGCTTCATCACACCACTTGTTATTTCTCAAGGTTTAGGGTTTCACGGGCGTACCTGGAATCTATGGCGCATAACTCGACCAGACTGCTAGAATTCGGACAGCATCCCCTGTTAAGCCAGACTAAAAGCTATGATTTCAAGAATACGCAGCAACGAGTCGAGGCGGCTCAACTATGTATGCGCCTGTCACTAAATCTTCTGATGCCATATAATTCGCTGCATAAAGTGCAAGTGATTCAGCACCTGAGAGCCTTATGACACCGGCCACCACTGAGGTTATTAATATGTACGTAACTGAATCTTCTCTAAGTCGATAAATCAAGTATAGCCTATCATTTGAGGTGCTTGACCATACACCTCTATTACAACTTGATTACGTCGCCCCTCTAGAGCCGAGTACACAAGAATTTGGGCGCGGTGACTAGCTTTGCCCGTGAGCAGCGCCTGATTGATACCTTGAACCCGCGTGAGACGTTCTACCTCACAAGAAGAGACTTGTTGAAGGGGAATGATATGTCCGCAGAAGGCCATCACGCGGAGGGTAAAAGCACGTACCAACGTTCGACCATTGGTCCGAATGCAAGCAATGTAATATGAAGAGGCATGATGTCACATTGCATCACTTACAAAAACCAAGTTCAATAGCCCTACCAGCGCGGAAAATACTAGCTTGCATACGCCTTTGTTAGGAAGATTAATGTCAGTAATAAACTCACTTCTTTTGTAGGTGAGAAAGCAAGAGCCTTAGTAAAAAGCAACTTTATTAGTATGCATACTGTTCTATCCCAAAGCTCTCTCAAACAGCGTATCTTACGAATTATCTTACGAATACAACAATAACAATGCCTTGTTGATTCATTGAACTTCTCTTAACAGTACATAAACCCTATTTCCAGCCCTCAACCCACCGAGCCTAATAGTCAACCTTTCCTCATCCACTCTTACTATCTCATTTCCCTTCCCTCTCCTCCCTGTCCCCTGTGTCCTTTACCCTTTCCATCCACTTTCATTAGCGCTAATCTCGCGTTCTTCCCCCCCACAAGCGGCACGTCAACCATCTCAACATCGACACTGTTCTCCTAGTATTATAAACCTCTCCTTCTCCTTCTCCTTCGTCCTCTTTCCCCTCCATCCTCCTCTTCCCCTTTCCTTTTCCCCCTTCCCTTCTTTCCACTTCGATCTCCGCTTCGACCTTAGATGTCCGCATAGGAATCCCATCCCTTTTCAAAATCCTCTCATCCTCCTCACTACGCCTCTGACCAGGATGACGCACCATACTCATACAAACAAGTCTGCATACGGATCAGGAATTCGAAAAAGGAGGTGCTGGGGAGGGAGTGGTACTCTACGTTGTAGAGGGACATTTGAGAGGATGTGTGGGTTAAAAGGTGGAGGAGGTAGAGGTGGTAGAAGGACGAGGAAAGCGACGTCAGCGGGGAGCGCATACAAGGCGAGCCGGGGAGTATGTGAGTGACAGCGCCGCTATCCCTCGTGACTTCGCTGGGGTTGAGAGGGCGGAGGCTGCAGTCGTTGATGCTGTTGAGGGTGCGAGAGTCATTGAAGTTGATGGACTACACAGAGCTGCGGGGGTTGAAGAGAGCGCCGCTAAGGTAGTTTTTGTAGGCCTTTTCAGAGTGGGAGTCGTTGAGTCATAGGACTTGGGACTTATTAGGATGGTGGGAGCCTTTACGCTTGTGGCGCCGCTTTTGATGAGGACGTCTTTTGCACGGAAGAAAGTAGTTGCTTCTTTTTCAGCTGCGAGGCGGGGTTGAAGATTTGTTCGTGGAATGGGTACGGGAGTTTGAGAGTTGATGGTACGCTTTCGACGACGGCGGTAGGGCCAGGACTGCCGCCGTTTCCCACGGCGTGAAGTTGGAGGAGGCTTGTCTTTCTGGGTGAAATTGACGCCGGCTTTTGAGGGAGTTGTAGGTACGAATCCAGGCACAACAACGGCGATGGCGCGCGTAGACATTAGTCTGGTGGGAAGATGTCTTGTAAAGATCTGTAAATTATGGGTAGTGGTTTTGTTGTATAGTGGCTAGGAGATGCCTCTTAGGAGGTTCACGGGCAATGGCGGAGACTTCACATTGATGAGCTGTACTAGATCATGTCTCAACGACTTTTAGGAGCTTTGACTATTTCAAGACCATTCAGAGATACATCATGAACGTTTGGTACGTTGACTCCAAGGTTGAGAAGCAGCTAAGAAGTTGAACAAAGGCAATTTTGCATCGGGATCAGAAAAGCACAAAGGGAATCGACAGCCCAAATCGGCATCCCCGTCTAATCTCAAGAAATCTCTTTCTTTGTGTTGAAACCCCAACGAACTGAATACGCTAAAACAAACAGGGGAAACATTAATGCGCGGATATGGCAAAATCCTATCGATATGTGCGTTGTGTTCCTGAGCAGATAGCAGCCTCTCAACGACAACATTTTCTTACCGATGTTAAATTGCTAACTAGAGGAAAATCTCTTACACAGAATGATCTCTTCTTATCTGGCTAAGATGACGAACAATGGTAATTCTGCGGTGAGACTGCCTAGCATTGACCGACAATTGATCTGGAACAGTGCTCTCCCTGGTCGCGACACCAGACGTCTCTTTTGTTGAGAAGCCAATAGACAAAAAGTTTGCATCGCGTAAATACAAAGATAGTCTTCCTATTCACCTAGCGCTACGTTGACACTTTCGTCTATAGGTTTCTGTAAACCTTATTGTCTTAGCGCTTGTATGGAGATTATGTGAAGAAGCGCGCTCAGGTCGTGGGAGGGGCAGGGGAAAGGCAAGGCGTTGCTCTGTGTTCATTCTTTGGGAGTTGGAAGGAGAGAGGATCCGGGAGCGGACATATCGTAGAAGGTTGCGTTGGAGACATCGATGATGATGTTGGTGATAATTAATAGAGAAGCCAACATCAACTGCGAGCCCTGCGGATGGTCAGAAAGACAGGAAAGCGCGAAGGACAACACTGTTGAGCATGTCATGTCGCAGCTAGCTTCACTAAGAAGATACTTGGACAAGCGCACGTGACATCGCGTCCGACGTTGCCTAGGCAATACGCGTAAATTTCAGACGCGTAAGAGAGGGAGATAGACACCTGAATTGCAACGCAATAGGATTGTTCATACTGCTGGAGGGTGGCGCTAAAGTGAGGCCAAGAGATGTCCAGAGTACTCTGAAAAGTTTGGTCCGTTGTAAAGTGATTGAGATTGGCTGACAGTAGCGCCGGAATGCTCCAGTAAGTTTATTTTGTAGTGGGTTGATATTTGGGACTGGGCGGCAGCGCCTTCGGGAGTTAGCAGTGGCATCGGGACTGATGTCGGGATGCAGAAGATTTTGCGTAGGGGTTTGAAGGTCCAATGTGAGGTGAGTTTGTTGTGTGAGAGAACTAGGCTGTTTATGTAGATGGGGATCAATAGTCGAAGCTTCTTGGGCAGCCTGGGGAGTGTCAAGATTGCCATGAAGCAAGGGAGGAAGAATGAGATCTTCACCAGATAGTAGTCTCGTTCTTGGCTCTCACTCGGATGGCTGGACTGGTAGAGAGTCAGTCTCACAAGTCAGGAGCTTGGAAGTGGAGGGTCAAACTTCGCTGGCGCTCTCAGCGCGCGCACTTGGATCTGCTTTGCTCACAAGCTTGTAGCTTATGGGAGTGGAAGTGTATTAATGAGAGAAAGAATCCATAGAGGAGAGAAAGAATCCATGGAGGAGAGAATAAATTGGCACTAGACGGCGGGGAGGACTTAGTGGAATGAATTTGATTGCACTCACTTTCGCGCTCAGGCTGGTTTGCGCTCACTTGGTCAGTTGTCCGTACATCCGTTGCTCGGCCGATAGAAGCTGCAACGCGATGCCAAAGATCTGATATCGTATGAGCGCATCTCGATGTCGCTCTTGTAAGGGGGAGGTAAGGAAGTATCATTGGGTTGAGAGGTGGTGAATAAGGAATTATGTAAGCTGTCGCATCCGAACGAAAGTCTTGGCTTTCTCTGTGGGGTAGGACGCGGCATCCAGTCTAGGTAGACCCCCTCGACTCCTTAGTACACGTCATTGTACTCTTTCTGTTCTTTGTTTCAAGGCTCAGGTGTACTGTCGTGGTGATGTTCTATCGTAGCTCGTTGCACGATACGGTATCTTCCAGTGGCTGCAGCATTGGACCTGCTATGCAAATGGACCAAAAGCTTGTCTAAAACGATGGACATTCGCGTCTCACTACAATGCGTCCAATAATGCTAAATAGCACATCATAGCGGCAGACCGCAGTGAAACAACACCCTCTGAAGTTTATCTGTGCTACCAGTGCAGTAGATAATGATAAAGTCACGTTGAGCTACACCACAGACACATCTATGACTAGGAACTAGGCATTCTTCTCTGCAAAGGGAAATCAGGACTGTAGGGCTAAATGCTGTGTACAGATCCTTCCATATCTGATGGTAAGATTTGTAGGTCAGATCACAGGGCGAGAGGTCATCGATGGTCTGGGTTGGTGAAACCTCCACTCCTGGAGCGATGTGCGGAGGGAACAAGTAAGGAGCAAGAGTTCTATGCGAATCACTAGGATGTTGGCAGGGCATTAGTTGTTTGGACTAGGATTGAGGTTGAAGATCGTTCAAGACAAGGCGCAGTGCAAGATGATTTTGTTGGTCGCCGCTAATCTTGTTTTTTGAGGCTCTTTGCGTCAGCGAAGAGTCATCCTCAAGGTATGTGAAGGCAGTCTGAGTGAATAGCTCAAGGAAGACTTTTTGGGAGTCGCTAAAGGTTAGGTCCGCTTAGGTTCTTATCCTGTGCTTGGCCTGTTGCTCGATCTCATAATTTTGCATCTCTACACGTCAGACACTATCATTTGTTGGTCTCAGAAATTTACTCAAGAGGCTCACACTTTCGGACTTGCTCACCTAGGCTTACAACATGCAAATTGCACCAATCATCCAAGTCGCATTTTACATTCCACATTTGGCGAAAGGTTGTCGCAAAGAGAGAATGCTACAAAGTATATTGCTTTGTTGAGATATCCCGAATTTTAGAAAGTATTTACCGCTAAACAAAACGAGGTATATTGACTATTTCAAGCCTAGTAGGCAAGTCAGGCTATCTTAGTCCAGGCAATATTGCAAGGGTCACTAGATCTGAGAAATTCGAAACTCAAGCAAGAAGCGGCTCGGATCATTTGTTCACATCTGTCAGGTCTCGCTTGAGATATCCAGTCACCAGGGAGACCTTTGTTTCAGCTTAATGCCTCTCAGCCTCAGGTACCTCAAGAGTGGTGCGGCGTAGATTGGCCGCATTATACCTAGGGCGAGGCGTTGGCCTGGTCTGCCTCTGCTGTGCCCCACCCCACAATTCAGAATCGGAATAGCCGTAGGCTAATGAAACCAACACTGAACTATGCGGAGCATCATGACGCTGATAATGTCTCATGGTACGGACGTAAAGAGCCCGTTCGAATGTGATTAAAGCCAATCCACAGAAGACTTGAGCAACGAGCGCAGAATAGGCTTTACTCCAAAACGTGTCCCCACTATCCTGTTTCTGGCCATTGTTGGATGCGGCTTTGAGAGACTTGGGGTCATTTGGCGGAGGTCTGATTTGGAGCGTGATCCATGTGCCGCATCATGAAAGTTGTCTGTGGCCTCCAGAGCAGCGCGATGCGGGCGGCACATATGCACCTGTCGAAGCTTCAAACACACAATAGACTAACATCCGCCTATTTAAGCTTCTTCCAAAATACTAAACAGAATTTGAGAGATCGCCGGGGGCCCAATGGTCAGAATCGCTTAGCTCTCTTCAAAGGTCCAACGATTTCAGTCCCAATTACCGTGACAATCTGACAATCTGGCCAAGACGGGCAGCATGCACTTGAGGTGGAAAAAAGATGGGGGCGTTGGCGATCAAGTAACGCTTCCCTATATCATGTTTGGAGCACTTGAAATGGTCTCTGTATCCTATATCTCTGGATTGAAAGGATGTCAGACTGTCATCTTATGATGTTCCAGCAGTTCCAAGACAAGATGGTCAGGATTCTGGCTATCCTGCTCGCGGCTTCTCACTTTGGTTCGCAATTTCTTCTTTCCCCTCGTTTGGTCTCATTCTGACAGTAAGCGCAACATCAGTCTCTGCAGTGCCTGCTCCCTTCAACTTTGGACTTACTAAAAGGGCTCTCTCCGACGAGATATGCGGTAGTCCCACTGGCTCCCCCCTGCGGACAAGCGCAATGCTGATTCATGGAATCAATACAACATGGGCGGATGGGTCAAGACTATGTATGCTTTCCAGCCTCCATTGTGGCTTCACTGCTAACGATCTAAAGAGTACGAGGTGCTCAGGTAGACGGATGGGAGTATGCCCTCGACCCTGGCGCAACCTCGGCCAATACGTCTACCAACATCCAGGACTTGATGCTCCATGTGGCCGGAAACGAGGGTGCTGGTATCTGCGGTCCCATAAGCGTACCTAATTGCGGCTCCACAGGCTACAGTCATGATCTTTGCCTGAAGTATCCCGAAGCGCATTTCGCCATCTGGACTATCAACAATTTTGCCAATTGGCTGTCGATTGTGCAACATCGACTGACGGACTCAGCGGTGTCAGTGGGCTTCTCGACAAATGATTTTGTCAAAGCATTCTTCACACCCACGCAGAATCCCTCTCAGCTGATTGTACCTGTCAGCATCATTGGTGGTATCGCAGCGAGTACGTTTTATTGATAGATTCTTCCCACCCCCTGAGCATCCCTTACGCAATTCGACATATTGGCTGTGCCGTCGAGTAAAATAACAAATCTTATATCTCTCGATGTTCTACGGTGTCACGACAGCACAGGATATTCTACCTCATTCTTTTGCATAAGCGGCGGAGATGGTGCTGACCCTAATCATAGTCGTATCGTCAGTGACCCCTGTTGGCGCTGTTATCGCCGGCATTGCTGGGATTGTCAATGGTATATTGACGCAAGAAGGCTTGAACAGGCCAGAGTTAGTTCCCTCCGGCTCAAGTGTCTCGCAGTCCACTGACAAACGGCCAGTCCGCTGAAGCAATGGGGCGAGGTTCAAACAGCCGTAGGTCAAATATTTACTCAAGCCAGCGACGGCATTGGCAAGTTCTACGATGCCAGTCTCGACCACTGGCCAGATTATCCAGACACAGGTCATCGTATCGACGAAGATCCAAGCCAGCTCCCGATGATACTTGCCGGTGGGTCCTTTGCAGCCCTACCCCAGATCCCACCCACCATAACCAATACCGGCATTCAAAACGCTCTTGCAGCCTCGGCAATCAACGCTCTCTGGGCCGCTGACCATGTCTTCATCATGAAGCTGACCGACCAAGCGTATGGTCGCGGAGATGGCGCAGCCTGCAATGGGCGACCAGTAATGACCGTATGCAAAGACGGTGCCGCCTACATCTTCGCTCGGTGGGTCACCACTTCCTCGGGCGCCAGAGTCACTCGCGTGATCAACCCGTTCGACACGGCAAGTTGGAACGTCTGGGGCGCATACAAGCAAGGCACAGGCCCTGATGGCTCCACCAACGACAACATGCTCAGCAAATACGGCCTCGACCTGTCGAAAATCCTCGACTCCGTCCTCAAGACTGCGGCTCTGGCGAAGGGCCAGTATCCCTTCGACAATCAGAATGGCGCCTTGCTCGACTATCTGCAGAGCAATCCGAGCGATGTCTCTCCCGCTGCCCTGTCGTTCTGGAATCTGCCCGTTTGCGACATGGAAGCGGCGATCGGTCCGGGCTTGCATCTTCCGACTCAAGGATTCTTTCTGGATGTGATCTCTAATTGGGGTCCCTGCACATGTATGCAAGATTCTAATTGGCCGAAGGATCTCTATAGTCTGCCCCCTCTATCTACGACAACTACTCAGTGCAGGAAAGTGTATCAAAATTACTAGCTTTTCCTGTATCGACAAACTCCTTTCACTAGTTTCATGACTATCATTGCTTGGCGACTGTTTTCGCTTGGCATCCTAGCTCTTGTCGTATTACATCTTGTGAATATACGTGTATTGAGTGTTTTGATCAACGATACTACTTGCTACTTTATTTTCACGAACTAGAGTATAACTACTTCGGACCGATTACTCCTTATAAAGTAGTGGGCAACATCCCAAGAAGTTCAGTGCCGCGGTAGGCTTATATACCTTTGACGAGTGTCGTGCAAGGGAGAGGGAGAAAGTTCTCGGCGGGGAAATGCTTCGGGTGGAAGTCCCTATTCTCCTCTATATGAATCTTTAGTCGCTTGAAGACCGGGACGTTGACGGACCTATTAACACTCTAATTGTGACATCGAGCCCATGATAATCGACTGCTGTAGTACAAAGTTGGTGATTGCTTGGTTTGTGTCATACAATCTTTCATTTACTGAGCATTCGCTGCTTCAAGGCAGTATCACAAGCCGCCACCATGCAAACTGCACTGTCACTTTACCCTCTTTCTTCTCCCATCTTCATTAGCTTCCAACACCTCCTCAGTCCCATAGCTCGTTCAACGAGCGCATCGAAGCTTGCTTACACAATAACTGTCCTATGGCTACATAACGAAAGTGCAAAAGATATGGCAGGGCCGCGGAATTAGCTTAGTCGAGCCCAATTGTACATGATTCATATCATTGCAGGAGACTCCGACGAGGTTGTCCCTCTTGTTCCAGGTAGAATCTTGCGTCCCAGAATGGACCCTTCTACCACACCAAACGCGAGTACCCATCCCCATACCTAATCATATCATCCAGCCTCCCATAATTCCAATCACTGAACCGAACGTGTAGCGCACTCACTCAATCCCTATGCAAAGTGAGCATCCTCCCAAGGGTCCCTTCGAGCATTTACTTAGTACGCCAAACACCAAGATTAGTCTAGATATCGCAGGCATTGGAGCTGCACTCGATCGTTTCTACATTTTTCAAAGCTATCTATAGCAAGCGGATCCGGATTTCCTCAAAGACCTTTAGCAAAGGTTGGTGCAACTAAGAAGGAGAGTACTAGCGCCTAGCTCTGCCAAACGCTTTGAAAGGAACTTGAAAGTATACAGTTCACGTTCCGAAGACGGTATGATAAAAGGTCTGTTTCCCTTGGCAATCCCTTAGGAATACTGGATAAAGTGCACGCCTGTGGAACCCGATCTGACTGAAATTGGAGCAGTGGAGGTTGAGGAATACGAAAGCATAGATAGTTGGAAATATAGTTTATACGACTAGGGAGATGTAGGTGACCTCTTAGCCGCGAATAAGCTCTCTTAAGCTAGGAATTTGCCTACCGACCCTCCCGAAGACATTGTTAGGAAAATATAAAAAAGAAACTCCCCTGGGATGACTATCTTGAAGCTTGATCGTGCGCTCTATTATGAACCTAGTGAGTTGGAATGTGACTTTGTTAAAGTTTTCAATCTCCTACAAAAGCTCTGGCATATTTTTTGCTTGATAGAAGGTAAGAGCAACCTAAGCAGTTAAGCCGCTGCGCAAGTGCAGGCTCATCATGGGCGAGCAATCGTCATCTATCAGCTGCGAAAGTTTCGCGAGTTCCTCGGTCACAAAGAGACAAATAGTATCCACAAGCATAGGCAGATATTCTCCATAACAATGACAACTAATAGCGTCGACTTCTAGGTGCATTACGCGGAGAAGCTCCCAAATGGAAGAGGTATGCTCAGCGCACTATATACCCGAGCTAGCTTACTACCTACAATGTACTGACTGATTGCAACAGTCGATTGTCACATAGAATAGGTAAATAGCGCCATGTCTTCAGACGAACCCTAGCAGAGAGGTCTACGCCAGATGTGCGAAAATGTCTAGGAATAGGGCAGTCGATCAACGCTTTCCAGAGTTTCCCTTCTCCACCAAACATTGTATGGCAGGGTAGCGGCAACACTAGACGCCAGACTCGAACAAGCGGCTGGATCAGAAAACGACGACGGCGACGACGATAACGCATATGGCGTCCAAGCCACCGCTGCAGCTACTCAGACAGCCTCCGCACAGAGGCGATTCTAGGGAAGGCCAAAAGGCAGCAGGAAAAGCAATAGGAGGGGCGCTGCGGCTTAGCGTGGAGCTGGAGCAGGTGGAATTGGGACTCATGCGCCTATAGGGAACCAGGCACGAGGTGGGAAGGGTAAAGGAGATGCTATCCACTCGAACTGAGCACAACAGCTAGATCACTAGCATCTAGAGAAAAATAGCACCTTCTCTAACTACTGCCATTTATGTGTTGGCAAGATCCCGGACAACTATTGCTTTGTTTGTCACCAAGCCCTTCCGCAAGGGCGACAATGTAAAGACAGTATATCTTCGCGATCGCCATAGAATGTTGCTCTCGCACCGCAACAACATCGTCTAGCACCTGCACCGCAAAAGGTGTCTTGAAGCGTATCCAAAATTTGACTTCAATAATAGCTGCGGAGTGCCTTTGACATGGCAGAGCTTTAATTAAGGATCTAGCTAGACTAGGGGTTAGTGGGTCAAGAGCTTTTTTCTTTTATTATACTTTTTTTTAAAAGAAAAAATAAATACCTAAAGCTTATAAAATAGCAGGTAGCCTTACTATTATTAATATTAAAGTTAGAAAATCTGTAAATAATAAGAATCTATAATTATAATAATTTTCCTCCTAGTTTATAATATTATATATTATTATTTTAAAAACTTTATTATTAAGATAAAAATAGTAAATAACTTAGGGCTTAGCTTTTTAAAGCTAGCTATAGTTAGCTTTTCCTTTTTTAGCTATCTTTTAAATACTTTTTATTTATAATTATAATTTACTAATAATATTAAAAGTAAAAAACTTTTAAATAATAATAGGGATCTTTTTAAAAAACTTATTATAGCTTTTAACTACTATATATTCTTTTTATTAAAGCTACTTTATATTTTTTCTTCTTTTTAAATATACTTTTTTTATATATTTTCTTTATTTAAATTATAAGGTAAAGGATTTCTATAGATACCCTTTTATATAATAAGAGTTATATATAAGCTTTATAAATATATTAGATAATAAATAGCCCTCTCTTTAATATAATTTTAAAAGCTAGATCTTTAGACTTAACTTTAAATATATTAAAAAGATTTAAAAAAGCATTTTTTAAATTAAAAATTTTATTAAACTTATTAATAGCTTAATTATATAACTTATAAGAAATTTAACTTTTAAAGAATTTAATATTATATATAATATTATATATAGCTTTTTAATCTATAAAAAGATTTTAATTTATCTTATCCTTTAAAATAAATATATAGCCTTTTATAAAAAGTTATTAAATTATAAATACTATTTTTAGTTTTTTTTATTATATTATATAAAAAAATCTATTAAAGTTTTTAATACGTATTATATTAATAGGATAATAATAATATAATAAAAAAACCTAAAACGCTAAGTAGAAGCTAAAATTAACTTAAAATATAAATAGTTTTTAAAAGTTAGAATTATAATTCTTTTAGCTATTTTATTAATAACTTTAATAAAGCTAAAAAATAAGTAAATTTATTATAATTAAATTAATAAAAGTTTTTATAAATTATTTTATTATTAATAAAATATTTATAGAATATATAAAAATATATATAAAACTATTAAATATAATAGTTATAAAAATAAAAATTATTAAAATTTAAATAAAACTTTAATCCTTTTTTAGAATAAAGTTTTATATTTAAAATAACTACTTATAATTCTATCCTTATTAGGTAGTATTTTAGAAGGATTATTATACTTTATAGCTAACTTTGCTAACTTTCTTTTAAATAAAATATTATTACTATTATATAATAAATAAGTATACTAGCTATAGAATTATTTAAATAAATACTATATATAGTAAATCTTATAAATTATAAAAATAAAAGCCTAAATAGGCTATAGAAGCCCTAATTAATTACTATTAAATATACTTTACCCCTCTATAATAATAGATTTAAAAACCTTTATAAAAGATATAAAAAAATAGAATACTTACTACTAGCTTCTAAAAATAGCTATAATTCCAACTTTATTTTATATTTCTTTACTTTTAAGTTTAGTTTTAAAAAATAATAAAGAATTTAAATATATTTATAATTTATTATACTTAAAAGGCAATTTTATTAATAACTTTAGTAATATAGATAATAAAATCTTAAAGTATATTAAATTTAACGCTACTATTAATATAATACTTAAAATAAGCTTTAAAGTAATACTTATAAAAAAGGATCTTTTTAATATTTTTTAATATATATTAGTAGTAATAAATAAGTAATAGCTCTTTAGCTTCTATTAGAATAATATATATTAAGCTAACTATTACCTCTTTTTTAGCTTAAAGATAATACTTTTTATTTTTAACCTTTTTATTAAAGGCTTATATTATATTATTTTTTATAAATTTTATTACTTTATAGTTCTTTATTACTTAAATAATTTCTTTATAGTTTTGCTAGAAAATATTAATATAAAAAAATATAATAATAATTTTAATACTATCTATAAAAAGCTTAGCTTAACTATTAATATTAAAAAGGATATTACTAGCCTTTTAATAAAATTCCTAGGTATTAAGATTAATACTATAAAAATATATATTAAATTTCTAAAAGATAAACTCTAAAGAGCTTTAATAAACGTATCTTATATCCTTAATAGGAAATTAATATTATATAAGAATTTTATTAGATTTTTAACTTTTACTATAAAAGTTATATAGCTAGGATACTTTTTCTTAAGATATATATATAATATTTTTATAAAAAAGAAAACCTAGTATAAAATTAAAAAGGATATTTATTTAAATTTAAAATAATAATATACTTTATTAATTTATTATAATAGTTATTATTTTAAATATATTTTAAAATTCCAATAAAAGTTTTTCCTCTAGTTAAATACTACTTTTATAGAAGGTTTTAAATACTTTT